TAGCTGATATAATTAAGAGCAGAACACAAGTAGACCACATTAAATATCAAAGTTGAAACCAACTATGGGAATATTGGAGGAGACAATACACATCCGCCTTAAGAATTTTCTTTTTTACAGGGGTAAAAAGAATAATGTTTAGCAAAGTAAGTGTAACAATATTGGTATTAAAATTGAGATTTAAAATGTCAGTCAAAAATTGAACCGACGATAGACTGTATTTGCAATCAAAATTATTAAAAACGATCATTTCAAAATTTTATTTTAAACAACACTGCAAAATCAGCTTATTTGTCATAAGCCTTAAATGTTTTAAAAGATAATATCATATTCAAGCTCAAAATTCCATTTAAACAAATAGAAACAAATCAGAAGCAGAACAAATAAGGACTGGTCTCTAAAACAGCACAGGTGGGATCAGGTGAGCTGGAGTAGAGAGCATCCCGTGCCCACCTTTCACACTCGTCGTATGCTTTTTGTCATGATCGGGGGAAATAACGGGCAACTCGAAGACAACTCAGTGTGTAAATAATGGCCTTACAATGAATATGAAAACAGTCAGTCAGCATGCATTTCACTTTATTATACCCCCCCCCCCCCCCGCTTGAAATGCGGGAGGGTATATAGTAATCGTTATGTCCGTCCGTCCGCAGTATTGTCATTGTCTGTAGAATTTTTTTTAGATCAATCACTGCTTGTTAACTTTCACTTTCACTTTTATTCGCCTGTCACCATGTGCATTCTGTCTGTCTGTCTGTTTGTCTAGATCTGTCTGTGTTTCAATTTGCATTGTCTGTCTGTTTTCAACTTTAACCTAGCCCATAACTATTGACATGAGTGGGTGGAGCTAGGACCTTCATATTTCACATGCGTATTCCTTGTGACAGGGCCTTCCTTTTGGTACCACCAAATTTGACCTCTTGACCTTGGAGTTTGACCCACTTTTACTAAAAAATACCACACATTAACCTTGGCCATAATTTTAGAACAGTTGGAGCTAGGGCTTTCATACTTCACATGTGTATTCCTTGTGACAAGACCTTTCTATAGATACCACAACATTTGACCTCTTGACCTTGGAGTTTGACCTACTTTTACTAAAAAATACCACACATTAACCTTGGCCATAATTTTAGAACAGTTGGAGCTAGGGCTTTCATACTTCACATGTGTATTCATTGTGACAAGACCTTCCAGCTGGTAAAAATATTTTTGACCTTGGCCACAGAATTTGACCCTCTTTTTTAAAAACTTTAACTCTGGTCATAACTTTTGAACAGTTAGGACTATAGGGTTTTCATATTTCACAGATGAATTCCTTGTAACATGACCTTCCTTTGGGTATTTGCACTTTTGATCTTTTGACCTTGACCTATGGAGTTTGACATGCATTTGAGAGAATTTAACCCTCGCCATAAGTTGCCATACGGGGGCATCAGTGTTTCACAAACACATCATGGTCTGTATATATTTTTTTTAAATTTAGATATCTATATTCATGATTATTTACTTTGGACAATCTATAAAATAGTTTTCAGAGTTAATTCTTGAAACTTTATACATGTATACAGGAGAATTTTTCCACCAGAAAAAGAAGCAAATAAATTTAGTGGACAATGGTCCGTTGAACAATTACATGTAATTGCGATTTTAACATTGTAATACCCTCCAATCAAGATATATACATGTATCTACATAAGTATTAATTATGGACCGAGTCCTTATCTCTGCACCACAGGAGTTCTAGCCCTAAGCTCTTTCACTTACATGTATATGTACTTCAAATTTAAGTGTGTGTACCTAGTTTTATTACTCTTGGTTTGACTAGTCTAGTTCATTCAAAATTTAATTAGATTCTAACTTCAAAAATAATTCTTCATGTAAGTTTCTTTTCCAGTCATAATTTAGTCACTGTACAATAAATCTATATGTGTACATTCAAATTATGACTTTGTTGATTAATAAATTCTTTAATTTTTACTGTCACTAATAAATATATTATAAAATGAAAATGTACAAATAAAATGCCCGTTCTAAACCCTACGATAACATGTAGGTTAATTTAATTTAATATTCTATTTCATATGTTCATCCGGCAAACTTTCGTTGGTCTTAGCTTGATTTTTCTGCAAATATGTATATTTTGTTGTTGTTGTTTTTTCCCCACATGTACCATGTTTATGTTTCTAATAGCATTTATATATGTTTATCTGGTGTGAAGTTTTCATTAAGATAGTATAAGTTTATTCAGGATACAACTTTGGGCAATACAGCCCATCAGTTTACAAAATGACAAATATATATACATGTACAACATATAATACAATCGACTCTCAAAGAGTCTAAACTGGGGGGTGAAACCCCAGGTCAAGTGTTCCTCAGTCCCACAGTTCCAATCATCATTTATAGAATACAATTATAATGAATTTGAAATTAGCAGTACAGTATTATTCAAAGATAGAGTACAATATACAACCATGCTATTTTGATATACAGATTACAGACATAAATATAGAGAACTTACATGTAAGTCAACCTGATAAATATTCGTTACGTAATGTTAGAGCATGTTGAATATATTTCCCTAAACCAACCAAAGTAGATATGCGGTTTGTACTTAATAATTGGATTAATTTAAATGTACTTGGTGATTTGTAATAATACTCATTTATATATTTTTTTCTTAGATTTAGATATCTAGGACATTGGAAAATGAAATGAAATTCGTCTTCTATTTGATGACTATCACAAACATCGCATATTCTATCATTTCTGCTTTTGCCTTGGTACCTTCCGCATTCTATGTTTAAATAGTGCGATGAAAGTCTTATGCGGGAAATATGCTTTTTTAAATTACTTTGTAAAGGTTTTGTTAAATAAGGTTGCATTTTACAGAAGTCAGGTTGGACAATGTGCTTATATAAAAAACATTTTGACGAATTATCCATAAATGCATTGCATTCTTGGAGATGTATATCTAGTAGTCTGTTTTTATATATATGCATGAAATTAGCAGAGTTTATTACTTGTTGATTAATCCAAAATTCTCCCAGACCCAACCTAAATAATTCAAGCTTTACTTCACGCGCCCAATTTATACTTGTGCTTGTTCCCGGCCCATTCTCTGCATCATGTCGCAGGTACTCGTATGACGATTTTAAAATGCAGTTTTCTGTTTTTAATAATTTACACCAGAACTTCATGATTCTTAGTTTTCTTTGAATAATAAGTGGATATCGTCCCAGTTCTCTATAAATCATGTAAGTACATGCATTGCGCTTAACACCAAGAGTATTTTTACAGAAGGATAAATGCAGTCTTTCAATTTCTGGAGATTTATGAAAACCCCAGATTTCGCTACCATACGATAAAATGCTGCCAACATATGTATCAAATAGCTGACAGCGGGTTTCGGCGTTAAATTCAAATTTCTGAATATTACGGTTTAGACCAAACAGAGCTTTTTGACCTTGTTCAGCTAATTTTTTTTGCGTAACATTAAATTTACCGTTGTAGTTTAAACATAATCCAAGGTAATTAAAAGAATTGACAATTTCTAAAACTTCATTATTGTACGTCCATGAAAAATTAACGCACCCCCCTTTCCTGAATACTAAAACTTTGGTTTTTGCGGTGTTCACGGTCAAATTCCATGATGATACGTATCCTTGTAAAGCATCAAGCAAGTTCTGTAACTCTTCTGGCGTGTTAGCGAATATTACTGTGTCATCTGCGAACATTAAAACAAAAAGATTTAGTTCTCTTAATTCTACACTTGGGCATTTATCGTTTATGAAATGATTTTCCAAGTCGTTAACGTACATATTGAATAATATCGGTGATAGTACTTCCCCCTGCAACAACCCGGTATTTACAGAGAATTCCTCGGATATCTCTCCTGCATTTTTGACACAGGCGCGTACATCAACATAGAGCGATCGGATAATTCGAAGGAATTTTCCGGTGATTCCCAATTTGATCAATTTATACCATAATTTTTCCCGGTTGATTGTATCAAATGCCTTTTTATAGTCGATAAAACAGCAATATAAACGTTGTTTATTATTCAACTTTTTTGATATTAAACTTTGAAGAGCAAATATCGCGTCAGTAGTTGAACGCCCAGCCTGAAATCCAAATTGTGCATCAGTTATAATATTTTCTGAGATATTCCATTTCATTATTCTTTCGTTAAGGATTGAAGTAAAAAGTTTTCCCAGACTGCTTGTGATGCTGATGCCTCTATAGTTTCCGGGGTCATCCGTTTTTCCTTTTTTATATATTGGAATAATAGTTGCTTTCGACCACGAAGAAGGAAATATACCGGAATTAAATACTTTGTTAAAAAGGCTCTTTAAAATAGGAAGAAGTATGTCACTGAACTCGGAAAAGTATTCGTTGATTAAATTATCATTTCCCGCGCTTTTGTTTGTTTTAAGTCTGCGTATACAGGTTTCAACCTCTTTTGAGGTAATTTCAGTGTCCAAGAGCTCAAATACAGGGCTATCGGTGTCCATATAATTTGCAATCGAAATGTACGTAGTCGCTGAATCATTAGCAAGGTTCCGAAAGTGTTCAAAAAATTCTGATAAGGTAACTTTGGAGTTTGATGTCTTTCGTTTGCTAAAATGTTTAAAGAATTCTTTAGGGTTATTTTTCTTCAGTTGTTGCACCATATCACCTTGTTGTCTTTTGTATTGGTTTTTAAGTTTCTTTTGAAGTTTTTTGTATTCACCTTTTGTTTTAGTAAGCTTATTGTAATTTTAAGAAATCTCACAGATTATATAGTTTTACATTTAAAAACGTTAAACTAATTCAATGCTTAATGGAATAGATCGGTACTTATTATTGTTTTTATTTTTCACTTACTTAACACTTAAAATTTGAAGTGATAGATAAAAATGTAAAAGCATTTCTAAAGTTTTTTTATTTGAAAAATAATGAATGAAAATCTTTTAGGGAACTCTCCAATCGAGGAGGTACGATAGTGCGTGCCAGTAGCGCCCTCTGTCAACAAATGGAAACACAATGAGCATAAATTTGTGTGCATATTTCACAAAGAAGAGGGTAAAAGCCATGCCTCAGAGGACATAGCATTGCAAGGTATTCTTTTAATAGATCAAAATTTTATCTCTCTCTCGTGTTCATCAAACTTTATTTCGTTTTAGTTTGCAAAAGTTTGGGAAAATCTCGCTCGGCGAGATGGAATGTCGAGTGCCTCGGAAGTTGGCTAAGAGTTTTGCCGCCGCTTGACAACTTTCTCTATCCGATAAAGAACTATAAAAACAAAAATATTCAGTAACACTGGCCTAGTGTAATATTTTTAGGTGTTCTGTGTTATTTATGAATGAATTCCAGTGCGTAGTCTGTGCTTGAAAAGTTTTACGGAGTTTTGAAACATCAAAGAAAAGAACATGGAATTTCATTAACTCCCTTGAAAGTAGTTGGGCATAAAAAAGTTAACGATGACATGATAAAACGAGGGTAATTTTCATTTTCAAATGTCACCACGATTTAATAGACAAAAGTTAAAACTTTATCAAAATATACAATTTTATGATATTTTATTGAACTGATAAAAATGAGCAGGTTTTTGAACTCTTTGTACTTTTCTTCACATGCTCGGGGTCAAAAGTTCAACCACTATGGTAGATGAGTCATTCCAAAGTAACATGTACCATTGCCTGTCTTTGTCATGTACTGGCGTTTTCTTTTTTTTTTATATTTCGTGTTTTTTGATTGCTTTTGACAAGCGAAAAGATTTACAACTTAAAATCCTAATGAGCACGAACTGCCAACAAACAAATGTACTTAAAAAAACTACTGTCGACTACAAATAAAAGGGAGAAAGGACAACTTTGAAGTTTATGTTATGTTTTTCATAAATGGATGTCAGATGAATTTTTTTAAGAGGGAATATTCAAAATGTCGACATTAATTTCTTGTGTATTTTTGTGTAATGAACATGATGAATGGTTAAAAAGTGTAATGTTTAAAAAAAAAAGGAGGATTTCAGTTTTGTAAATACTTTATCAGCATGGATGAAGGAAAAAAAGATTTTTTGATCATTGTTTGATGCATATGATTTATCACATGGATTGTTGCACTTCGCAAAAAATGAATACCATTAGTTATATTCAAATATTCTATACAAAAATGCTATTAATAATATGCTTACAAGAAAATTAAAGCAAAAATTGCATGAATGTTTAACAAAGCAAACCCATATGACAGTGGACATGATAAACATATTTTAAAAGGTTTATTTTTCAAAGTACATTCTTTAATTTTTTTTTTTTTGGTCAGAAAACCCTTTCTATGTCACTGAAGACTGGTGTTGGTTATAAGAATGGTTAACTGTAAGTGCATCCCGACCTTTTGCTTAATACTTTTGCCTGTGATGATCCACTGAAATGAGAGTAGACACAAAACCTGAAAAGAAAGCCAGGGTGTAAAAGGAAAAGAAAAATATTAAAGGGGAAAGAAATATTACAGTCAGGTAGATTATTTAATCAGTTAGCAGGGAGCTAAGTTTGTTGACACCTTTTAGGGTCCAGGGAGCCAATGAAATAATAATACATGCAGGGATGTCCCTAAGAATTGAAATATCAGGGGACATTTAAAGAAGTAGAAGAGGGTCTAGGGTCCCTCCATTAAGGGAGTTGAGAGTGAATGCCAAAATAAAAGGGGATTACAGCATTATAGATAGGGAAATTTCCCTGGCCCCCTAAGACTTATGGACAAGAGTCTTATGTCCCTGTACATGCAATCGAGACATGTGTCTGAATAGACCCAGGACCATTTGCCTGCCAATCCATTGCTCAAACAATCAAGCTAAATGGTTAATAACGTATAGTCCAAGGTAGTAGAATGCTATGTACTACAGGTCTCTACCGTTTATAGTGTGACTGTCAAACCCTGCTTCACCCACCAAAGAAAACACTGTCATAAACACTTCCACAGGTTACAGTGTGGGGGTGCCAGATGTAACACAGATGAGTTTGTGCCCCCAAATGGATTTCAGCCCAGGACCTCTGGCCTTAAATCTGACATACCCGTTTGTCTTCAGGATTTCAGAGTTTTATTTTCTTGTCAAATTTGGAAGCATCTTATTTCATTGCTTTGACATTATTATTGTGTAACAGTAGAAAGTTTTTATGCAAAAATTTTGAATTCAAACCTGTACTTAATCACCATATCCTCAATATGCAAAATTTTAAGAAAATCTAAACATTTATGGGGAAAAATGATTAAAGCTGTATTTATGTAATTATTGAAGTTGAAGAATTAAGTTTTTTTTAACAGTTGCACTTTTCATATCTTTCAATTAAACAAGTTCTACTAAGTCATAATGTTGATCAAAAGTATCTTTTACATCAAAATCCAATGTCTTTTTTGATGTGTGCATTCTAAAAAAAAAAAAAACACCTATTTTCAAAAGTGCACACAATTGTTCCAATCAATATTTGTAAAAGAAAAGTCATTTTTGCTGTAATGAAAGTACAAACTTAATATGACATGTACATCTGCGGCATGCAGTGATTATGCAAGATTTATGCACATTGCACCAAGATTTCCCTCGTTAGTACAAAGACAGAAGCAAGAAATCTGCATGCAATATTCCAAATTTAATTTACTAAACATACCATTATGAACCTAAAATTTTTTTTTTTTGGTTAAATCTCGCACAGGTGGACGAGAGTGAAATCAGCGGCGATGTCGGATGCCAATTTAATGGCGGAATCTTACGCAGAGGATACGATGCAGAATATCGCCACCGACGAGGACAACAAACCGTGCTGTAAATTCTGCGGGAAGAAATTCGCCCAGTCCAGCTACATCAAGGCCCACATGAGACTCCACACGGGGGAAAAACCGTTCGCCTGCTCCTTCTGTCCGAAGCGATTCAGTGACTGTAGTAACTGGAAAAAACACGAAAGGATTCACATTAGGTATGATTCACAGTACATGTCCTAAAGATTCAGATCATGTACAGTTTGTAGTGGTAAAGATTCAAATGAGCTATGGTTCACCGTACTAATGATATCAGGTAGAGTTCACAGTAGTAAGGATTTATATGAGGTACTGTTTACACTTCAAAAGATTCACATCAGGTGCTGTTCACATCAGGTACTGTTATCATTTCAAAAGATTCACATCAGGTACTGTTCACATTTCAAAAGATTCACATCAGGTACTGTTCACTACGAAAGATTCATATCAGCTATTGTTTTTAGCTGCATATTAAATGTAGCATTATGGTTTTATATTGTAGTCGTTGACCATAATGCTACATGTCCTGTAATGCAAATTTTGTTCAATTTACGACACAAGATTTTCTGTGCACAGTTCAGGAGAACTTCACCACTTTTGATCATTCATCTAATACCTTTCAGGCCCATTATTTTATATACATTTTTTAAACCAATCTGTAAACCTCCAAACCCTTTATAGTTTTCTCTAGACAGACCAATAAACCGTCGTATGACAAAAAATTCAAAACAAGAGTTTACTGGTCTGTGTAGATGACTATAAAGGGTTAGGAGATGTAAAATAGAGAGGTTGGTAAAAGAATATGTCTTAAATAAGGGAGTGAAAAGTAGCTGACTTTCCAATGCTTACAAGGTAGAAGGATACCTCCAACTGTGTGCAGAAAAACTGGCACCATAAATTGCACAAAATTTACATAACATGATCTGTACATGTAGCATTATGGTCAAAGGCTTAAATATAAAACCATAATGCTAGAGTTTCTGCAGCTAGTATGGTTTACAGACTAAGATTATATACAATAGCTGCCTAGGTAAACTTACTGTTACCCTTCACTTGCTCCATTTGTCCCAAGAGTTGCCTGTAGTCCCAAGAGATTCAGCAAATCATGTAGACAAGTTACTGTAAAAAGCATTCATACTGGATGTGGCTTGTACTAAGATCATTACCATGGCTTAACTTCTGGGAAGTTAGTTCTTGATTTATAAAAATGACATTATGTTCATTGGCAATGTCAACTTTTTAGTAAAAAATGTATCATTGGGCCATAAAGATGAACTCTTGAAACAGATTTACTAAATATTAACTGGAAAATCTCCCTAAGTTTTGCAGGTTTGTGGACAATCTAGTACAGGTAAAATTTTGCGATTACTCTGTATATTGAATCTGACAGCAACTTAAAATTACAAGAATCAGTTACAAGCCTTACACATATTCCCATGTTCATTATAACAGGGAACATGGAAGTTACATGACGCTATCCTCACAGAGAAACCTGTATTACATATTTCAAAGAAAAAAACTTTCATGTTTCTCTTAAGGACTATAGTGTGTAAAATCAGGTACTTTTAATAAAAAACAGTTCAACTAAATCTATTCAGTATTCTTGCAGATTTAAAAGTTTCCTATGTTATATAACGTCCCACTCGAGAATTTTTCACTCATATCCATGGAGAGGCCACCACTTGCCGGTGGAGACTGCAAATTTTGTCGGCACTCAGAGCCATTTAGGGAGGCACTTTAAGTACCAGCACCTACTAACGGCCATTGAGCGAAGGACCGATCTCCAAGACCCTTGACGTAAGGATCAACTCCTGACTTCCTGCCCTTCATTACTCTAGATCAGAGGCGCTAACCAGATGCTGTAAGAGTTAATCCTTACGTCTCGGCTTCGAATCCCACCATGGGATGTGGAGACTGGTCCTTCGGGTGAGACCATTTAAACCAAGGCCCTGTGTTGCAGTAGGTGCTGGCACAAAAAAGATCCCTCACTGCTCAATGCGATGTAAGGATCAAAATTTATAGCTCTCCACTGGCAAGTGGTGGCGTCTCCATATGAGTGAAAAATTCTCGAGAGGGATGTTAAACAATATACAATATCAGTCTAACCACTGTGCCATGTGAACAACAGATGTAAAGCTATAGCTTATATTAAGCCAGAGCTTTAAATTTCCTGTAAATATTATTGATTTACAGGTTTGTCCCTAAGAAATGAAAAAGTTGGGGATAAATCAAAAGAAGAAGGGATCTGGGGTTCCTCCCCAAATGGGGAGTTAAATAGGAATACCAAAATAACAAGGGGTTACATCATTATAGGCGGGAAAATTCCCTGGCCCCTGGGTTTTAGGCTCAACCCTGTTATAGGCTGGGAAACTCCTAGATCTAAGGTTAAACCATGAATTGAGTAAGATGTATTGGTGTAGAATGTTAAATGTGTTCATGCAATCTCTGTTTCTTAGTAGCCAAGCCCGGCAAAATTTGCTCAAATAAAATTGAAAAATTCCATGTCATGTAAATTTGCATTATTTGCGACAAAATTTACTACTTGTCAATCATAACATGAATTCTGTGGTTTAAATTCTCTACTAGTCTTATTTAAATAAGTTGGAAATTACCTTGAAAAAAAAAATTTGCTACCTGCCCAGACAATGGTGTGTTTTTCTTTTTTATGGTTAATTAATTTTAACATGTTTAATGCAGTAGTGCTTCTTGATAGTATATTTTGTTTAATGGCCTTGGTTCACGGTCGACTGACATCGATAAAAGAACATGACGTGAAAAGGCATGCCCTGCTTGTTTCTGTCAAGGATCTCAAAATGGTACATCGTACATTTAAGTAACTATGGAATATACAGAAGTATAAACATGTTAACATGGTAAAAGTAGAAGAAGATGAAAGGATATATGGTTCAACACCATTAGAATTTTGTTAAAATGGACCCATGGTACACTAAATCAGAGAATAATAATTATATTAAGTAGTCTACTTAATTAATTATTTATTCTTTTAACATATTTGACCTGCTTTTCCTGATGATGCTATGAATAGAATAAATTGGATGTCTGTGGGTCAGAATTTCCAGACACACCCAATGGGAATAAACATTTTCCCTCATCTCCCTCCCCCCCCCCACCCCTCCCCCAACCGAAAAAAAACTTTCTTAGATATTTATGATTTAAAGTTTTTCAATTTCAGTTTTAATTGAGCCACAACACATGGAATGAAACTTACAATGTTTAAATTAATTCAGAAATTGTCAAGTACTTTGTAAGTTTAAATAGCTGCTGTATGCATGTGCAAAGAATACTGATTTAACCAAATTTAAATGCAGAAATTGAAAAGCTGACCGACATTTTAAATAAGTATTGAATAATGAAAAGAAGGAAACTGTAGAACAAATATATATGGAGAGTCTGCTATCTTGTATGCATCATTGCATTTTTAAGGGAAAATCAGATTGCTTACAGTTTTATAGGACACGTTGGAGGAACAGATTTCTTATCAATAATTATAATGTTTTTAATGATCTCCCAGTGGAATGTTGTAATTGGAAGCTTATGCTAATCAATAATGATAATGGTTACCATCATTATTTGTTAATTAAAAACCTGTTTAAAATTTCATCATGAGATGCTGTATCATGTTAAAAATAGTAATTGCTGAAAGGCAATATTCCTATTGAGAAACTTATTCATTTCATCAATGTTCCTAACCAAAAAAAGCATTGGATGCCAGAAGGGGAAGGTCAAGGTTAAATGTCTTAGTAAAAATTAAAAGTCATTTTGCAATTGCATTTCATAAAAGTACTTTGATTTCAAAGAATTTATTCTATAAAGAAACAGTTAATTTTTAATTTGAATGAAATTTGAATATAAAATTGAGAATGCTATACAATAGGCTACTGGGAATTCAGTGTGTGGTCTATTTGGTATGCATCTGTGACAATGACATTAAAAAAAACCTATGATGTGTATTCTAAACATGATTTACATTAGATTTAATTGATTTTCTACCAGGTCACCAATAGCGATTCATGAAAGCTCTTTATAGACTTAAAGCATTCTTTTCTTGGATTGGATAAGATGAATTACATGTAGACCTAGTAATTGACTCTGTCAATTTATGTCTGAAGTATATTTTCAGATCATAAGATATTTCTAGGTATAAATTCAGGTGGGGGGGGGGGTCATATCAACAGACATTTTGTGTCCAAATTAATTTCTTAAATTGCTAGTTCTTGTCAATGAGAGCTTTATACAAGGGCTGACCTCCAGCTGCAGAAAACCTATCAAAGTATTGCCCACCTGATGGGGAAAGACATCAGGGTAATGAGGGTATGCGGTACCATTGTTCAATTGTAGCATAAAATTTTATTTTTTAATTTTCTAATTTCAGACAACTGGGCCTGAATCCAGACAAGCCCTCCACTCCTAACAAGACCCAGGTCCCCGTAGTGCAGAACTACTCCACTACAAAGTCCAAATCCGAGCACGGCAACTCGAACTTTCAGTGTAAGATCTGCAACAAGACGTTCTCTAACGCCAGTAGCCTGACCACGCATCGCCGGATCCATAGCGGGGAGCGGCCGTACAGGTGCGAGACGTGCGGGAAGTCGTTCACGCAGATAGGGACCCTACGGACACACGAAAGAGTGCACACAGGTGAGATAAGGGGGATATGCTACTGTTGGAAATGTGGGATGTATATATAGTACTTTGCAAGAGTGCACACAAGTAAAAAAGAAAAGTTGGTTATACTTTGGTAGAGTGCACACAGGTGATTAAAGGAGAATAATGTAATTTTTTAGCAGTTGACCAAATATCAAGTCCCAAAGAACAGTCTTATAAGAATAATTATTTTTTCCATGAAAATTTTACCCAACAAAAATACATTACCAAGTACACAAAAATTGATATATATTTGAAAGTGTGCACATGGGTGGAAAGAAACGAGGTGCCCAAAGTTAATCATTCTCTTCATTTGCTGTAAAGAATGAAGGAATCTCTCCCTGCAAAAATATTCGAAATTGAACAATATTTCAAAAGATAAAAATAAAGTTATAGGGTCTGATAAAAATATTATCATACCTAGTGAAGGAAATTGATAGTATTTCTTTCATTTCTAGGAGAGAGACCTTACATGTGTAAGCTATGTGGCCAGACCTTCGCCCAGAACGGCAGTTTTCGCATGCACGAGCGGCGTCACATGATGGAGATGCTCCACAAATGTCCGATCTGCCCCGTCAAATTCACCCAATGGGAGGACGCCAAGGCGCACCTAGCTACGCACCCCGAGATCGCCAGCGTCACTGAATTCATGAAGCACCTGCCGTCTGTTGCCACGGCGGGGGAAACCGACGACGAGAACATGCCGCCCATCGAGAGCTTTGCCCCGCACGTGGAGCAGCTCCACCTGGACCAGTTTCCACCCCCAGGTTTTCCTTTTCCATCCCAGTTATCCCCCTTTTTGAATCTTTCTTCTCTACATTTTGGTGCTGCTTTGGGGGATATACCCACGCCAGTTGGACTCTTCACAACGCAAGGACAGGTGGGTGGAGAATTTTGAAAGGGTTTGAATTCTTAGATAATGGCAGTTTTTAAATACACCTCAAAATCTTTGAGATGTTGATTACCATAGATATAAGTTGAATATTTCAGAGTCAAAAATTTGATTCAAAATTAGCTTCCAGCTTAAATTGTAGCAATTCAGATGCTAATCTTATAAAAAGGTCAGGACCTAATTTAATGCTGTATGCATATCTCATAAGTGATTTGTAATAAAAGATCAATTATCATGTACCCATCATGCTCTGAACGTGCTGAAACAAATCTGTACTTAAAAATAGGACAGTGATAAATTCCTACAAATATCTTAAATAAATACAACCGCTTTATACAGTAGTTGAACTGATTTAGGTGAATTGACTTATAGGTGAGTAAATAACAATATCTATGGTATTTTGAAATGAGTTGATTATGTACATGGACATATAATTTTTTTTTCATTTAACAGTGTTTAAATAAATTCACTTTCACTGAAAAAATTTCAAATTTTAACATCAGGACTCTGAAAATTCAGAAATATCAAAGCAAAATAAGTACTGTACCACAATATGAACAGGCTATTTTTGGAGTTTCTTATTTGTTCTAGACAATGTTTTATGATAATGAATGACTTTTAACCTTATCTTTCTGACAGTAATAGCCTCATTTGTATAAAACAAAATTACCATCATGCAGGAAACAGGATATACATTTGTACTTTTACCTAAAAAAAATATATTCAGTCAATTTCAGAGGTTAAGTGATGCATACATGTATAGGATAGCATACAAGAATTTTTTTTTCTATGAAGACAAATGTTTTATAAACTTTGTGTCATCGACAGTATATCATTTCTCCCTCAAAAAAAGACAAAGGAAATGTCATGCATTCTTAGACTAAGTATTGACATTTCTAAGTAACCTGCTTTTTTTTAAGGGACAAAAAAGTCAGTTTTTTAGAAATTTTTCTATTAGAACTGGAAAGGTTTTTTTTTTTTTCAACATCAAGATTTAAATCACAATTTTGCTTTGTTATATAAATTGTGTCATCAACTTTTATTATGAAAAGCATAAGCATCAATTTATTATGAGCATGTTTAATACAAGTGTGTTTTTCTGTACACGCAATATATGTTGTTCTTCATATATAAATTAAAAAATGGATGATCTTCTGGCATTTAAATTTTTGTATTTCTTGTGAATTGAGATTTGTGAAATAATATATTTTATTTGAATAGCTGATTAAGGGTGAGGGTCTAGGCCTACACAACTCCCGCTCTGCCCTCCAGGATGACCTTTACAGACAGTCTGCTGAGGTCACGACCTCTGTAGCCAACGGGGTCATACCCTCTCCTAATGTAAGTACTGTGGAGTCATCTAATATTAGGGCACCAATTTTCATGTGGATTACCCTTACCCATGAATTTACAACCCCAACAAAAATTAACTTCTTCAATGTATTGTTTTAAATTATTGAATTGTCAATAATATCAATGATATTACATACCCATAACCAGTGATTGATTGCCCTTCAACTTTGACCCCCTTGAATTACAATTTCATGGAAAATTGCTGAATTTACTGTGAATTTCTTTTTTTGTGATTATAGTGATTTTCATATTTCGAAATGTGTAGCAAACATTAACGTGATCAACATATTAAGCATGAACTGAATTGTGTAAAATATTTTTGGGCCCACCAAATTTCAGTATTTTCAACTATAGCTATTGAAAGTGTTAATCAATTTGTAAATTAAATTAAATGTATATGATCTGTTAATGGTTAACATTATGTTATTTTCAGTGTTTTATGAAATGTTTTTGACAGGATAACGGGGATACTGCTGTGAGTACGACCACGGCCCGCGACAGGAAGTACAGTTCCGACTCCCACACCTCACGATCTGTGTCCACCCCCGACGGAGGACTCGAAAATGGTGAGGACTAAAACTATACCTGTATGGTACTAATGAGACTGTTAGTAGACTTAAAAACTGTGAGTATGTTACTAATATGACTATAAGAAGATACTGTATAGGTTTAGGCTGCATATTCTTTGAAGGCCTCAAAAATGGTGAGGACTTATAATATATAGTATGGTACTAATAAGACTAGTCGTAAATACTGTACATATGCACTGTGTATTGTTTTAAGGGTTCGAAAACGGTGAGGACTTTAAGTCTGTGAATATGTTACTAATAAGACTATTAGTAGACTCTGTATATATATATATACCAGTATGGTACTAATAAGACAAGTTATAACTGTAAACGTATTGGCTGTGTATTCTTTTAAGAGCTCGAAAACGGTGAGGACTTAAAATCTACTAGTATGGTACTAATGAGGTATTAGCAAATTACACGAAATCTACAATTATAATACAAAGAATACTATTAAAGCAGATTATATATAAGGTCAATCTGTATGTTGTATACATGATAAAGATGGTTGCATCTGAATGTTATTGGATTTGAAAATAATTTGAGAAGATAAGACATTTTATCTGTCTTGCAAAGCATGACAGAGTGGAAAATGGGAGATAATTAACAGCATTGCATGCTTTCAGAAGGATTTTAATGTACAATATATCCTTTACAGGCACAAACAGAACTGATGCTGACAAAGCCAACATGGAGACAGATTTCGTCCATCCCGACCCGGAAACAAGTGCCAAGCCGAACTCCGAGGACTCCAGCATGGCCAGCGATCACTCGGACAATAATAACGGAGAGGAGGCCCAGGGTATCAAATGTACGAACCTCCACAGTCGGCTGTCAGGGAACTCCCGCAAACAGAAGTGTCCCATGAGGCGATACAGTGGATCAGGTGAGAGAGGGTAGGGGGATAAAATGCAAAAAACATAAAGGTGGAATTTCAGGCAAGGTGCAAAATTAAGGCTACATAAAATTGAAATTCTGGTTCTCAGGCTCGTTCGCATCCGTTTTGAGGAAGTCGCATTGCTTATTTTATTGTATTTTTGATAAAATGAAAAGTTGGTATTGCAGTGACCAATCTGGAAAAAAAAGTTCTGTCCTCGTATTTCTGTAGTTTAGTTCTCAAATATCACTTCCACTTGCCATTTGCAAAGAGATTTTGACTACTTCATTTAAAAATACATTCGAAGACATTGCCTATGATGTTCACATGCTGATAAGCTATGGATAACACAAACCTTTTGATCAGACATGGAAAGTATATCTGTGAATAAAAAAGATATCTTTATTTTAAAGAAAATTTATGTTAAAAAAATACCTCCCTCATCTACTTAATTGCCAATAAAATGATAAATAAAATGCCTCCCTCCGGCATTTTGGAGAAAATTGGCCTGAGAACCAGAGAATTAAATTTATATAGCCTAATGCATGTCATTAAAAATTTGTACTTGCATTCCTTATTACCAAACAAATTGTCAAACTCAGTTTAGTCGTTGAATGCATATTGCTTAAATAATTTTCAAACCCTTTTTCAAGAAAAATATTGAATTTTTCTGCAGAGAATAGGATTTAACTTTAGTTGGGGAGTGTTTGTACTGCAAGGAACAAGGTTAATTTGGCAGGTCTATCAAGCTACAAATATATAACTACATGTTTACAAACAGATCACAACATTATGCTTAAAGAGGATTTAATAAAATACTCTTTTCATAAGAGAATTACTTTCATGATATTCATAGTAAACATCTGGTTAATTTCTTGTAATTTATTTATTTTGATAAAAACTCATCCACATATATGTAAGTATCTTGCATTATTTAAAAAAATATTTTCGCCTCTGCAGAAATTAAGAAAATCAGTATCTTAAATTTTTTCCCCTCAGCTGCCTCCTCTATGGTGGACCCGGACACCTCGACCCACGTGACCCAGAGTCTCCTGAACGAGTCGGACAGCATCTACTCCGGGGACCAGAGCATCGAGGAGTTCCAGGATATAAATAGCATCACCGGCAAACTGTACCGGTGTGAACACTGCCACATTCTCTTCGAGGACTGCACGCTTTATCTTCTACACAACGGATTTCACTCCCACGACGCGGATCCGTTCAAGTGTGTTATATGTCGGCTGTCCTGCCGTGATCGGATCGAATTTAATTGTCATCTGATCAGCCACATTAAATAGACACTGAAAAACGTTCAGGTTCGATTTCAAGGGGTTTATGTTTTTGGTGATATGATAGAGGTATACCAGATATTTTTTTTGCCTTTGTTGCAAATGAAAGTGTTTTTTCGTGGTCAATGTACAATGAAGAAACTAGAAAAAATTTTTAGTTTTTCTTTTGTCATCTTAAGAAAAAAATTTTGTTATCAATTAGCAGTACTAGTTTCTATACAGTGTAATGTACTGTTGACTTTGTATGTTTGATGGCATGGTTGTTTAAAGTAATGTCCAAAAAATAACTTTACAACTTGGTTGTAGCAATGTCCAAAAAATTTAAGGGACACAAAAATTGATACAAAGTATTTTTTTTATGCCAAATGATAATTTCACATTGGTCAGTATATACACATGTAAGTGAAAATAAAAAATCTCAGTTTACTTTTTTGGCCTGGGATTTTTTCTATACACAAGGAATGATCTGAAACAAAACGTTTATGGCAAGTTGAAGATACACAAACTTTGCCTACTTTGTGATTTTTTGAATCTTCCACATTATTTTTTTGTTTTGTTGAACTAAAGATCTGTATTATTTTAGATAGTAGTTTTACATTTTAGTTGTTTTTTTGCAATATTCACTTAGTTTAGATCTGTTTCATTCATTTAATGTACTGGGTGTTTTACATGTATATGTTTTGCTTCTAGTTATTTATTATTCCCATGGCACATATTATTTGTTTGTTTGTTTTTTTCTTTATTTTTTTCTCTCTTTTAGAGGAAATCTTTACAAGGTTAGTGCTATCATTTATTGGTTACAGAAAAAAATCTTGAAAATAGTGTTTGTTTGCCCTCTTCTGACCCAGTATATATAAAAAAAAAGTTGATTGGTTAGTGGGATCCCCCTTCCACCCTCCCCCCCCCCCCCCCCAAGAACTTTCAGCATCAGTGAAGAATATTCAAAATCATATAAAAAGTACATGAACTTGTAAACTTTGAAGGGGTGAGAATTCAAGAATGAATAAAAATAAATTACTTTTAATGGGGGGGGGGGGGGGGGGGGGGGGGAGGATGTGTCAAACTGATTTTAAAGTTAGGAGAGGTTAAACAAACATTTTTTTTTTAGATGGCCCAAACTTCAATAAGTGAGCTCCATCCATTTATAAACATATCTTGATTTTTTACCAAACTTTTTTTTTCATCTCTGTGACTTGAAGCTCTCTTGAATATTTAAACTTTTTGAACAACATGTACTAAAACTCTTAACAACATTGGCCAAAGTGCATCTTTTGTAAATTGTATTTTTACAGGTTTTTCTAGTGCTAAAGGTGTATCTAATTAGAAATGAACTCCAAATTATCTTATTTGACACTGATGAAGATTATCTTCAAAAATGAAATGAATCACTGTTTTGTTTTTTTTCATTTGTTTATGTTAGTCTTTATGCATCATTATTGTAGTAGGTATTTTATTTTGTCAGTGTTTAGATTATGTTGAATGCCCTTTGTTGTATTAGCAGGTAATACCTGGTGCATCGTTTATTATGTATTTGCAGCAATATATAGTTTATATGCTGTTATTGCACATTTAGTTATTTTTTTCAAAACAGTTATTTGTAGATTCATGAGATAAAGAATATTGGGGGATTTTTTTTTTAATTTGGTTTGAATTTTTAGGTGTGTGTTTTTTTTTTGTTTCTTTTTTTTGTATTCTTTTGATTTAGAAACAAAATCTATTACAATTTAACATATCTCTCCTTGTCAATTAAAAAAATATTAATGAAAAAAGGTAACGTTTTATGACTTTAAACATTGAAAAGTTTATCATTTTGTTTAGCACAAAACTTGGGTGATAATTAAGACAAAATTTGTCCTTCATGATTATAAAACTGCACAGATTTTTGTGAAACTTTTAATATCTTAATAGGGATTTAAAAGATTCTTTTATGTTTTTTTAATTTTTTTTTCTTTTGGAAAAAAAAGAAAATGGCCAAGATTTTTTTTTTCTTGAACCATAATTGTATAAAACACCATTGTGCCATGTCGTAGCCCATGTTAAAAGTCCAAATTGTCCATTGCAGTAGTAAACATATCATTTATTGTACATTTTTTTGTTTTTTGTCATTAAATTTACATAATTTATCATAATTGTAATCATGTAGATCATTTAATTTTTTTTTTTCATTTTTATTTTATGTTTTCTGCACACTGTTTAGTATGTGTGCACATCTTGTAAAACGAAGTTACCTCCCCTCTTTGTTGATATTGAACTTTTTTTTTTTTTTCGATAGAGTCGAGGGTAACAGTATTTTGATTTCACTTGCTTCTTCATTTTAAGGTATATTTTTTCTTCTGATAATCTATTTAAAACAAAACACAAATATTTCATTCATTTTATACATATCTTTTTCTCCCTTTATTTTTTAAAAAAACTATTTAACATATCTTTATTTTGATCCCTTTTCCTCATTTTTCATTAAATATTAGTTATTTTTTAATTTTCATTATTATTAAAAGAAAAAAAACATGCCAAATAAGATTTCATATTTGTTGAAATGTTAACCCAATACATGTAATAAAACTCTTGGATTTGAAGATATATGGTACATTTCTTGAATGTAATCTTAATTTTTTTTGCATTAGGAAATGGCCAATTCTGTTACTGCTGAATTTAAAATACTTGTATCTGAACAAAGTTAAACATTTTTTGTTGTTGTTCGCAATATCTAATATTGTATTATAAGTTAGCAATATCATTGTCACTCATTATGACTCTTATTGTTTTCAAACTTCCTTCATATCAGCCCCTGAAAATTAAACATGTTTTGTTAATTATATTAATTAGCATTTAGAAATTGTTTAGAAAATTTTTTTCTAGCAAAAGCTTCATTAAGATTTTTTTTTTTGCCAAAAAAAATCTGCATATTGTTTATATAGTGCACAAAAACTTCATAATCTTCTTATTATGAGCTATTTTTATACAGTAGTTGACCAAATTTGTTGGATTTTTTGTTTGAATTGCTGCAGTTTTTGTGGACTACTTTTGTGCCCTCTCCCCTCCCGTTTCTGGCATGTGTCTTTTCATTGTTTTTACAGCCACGACATGTATCTGTAGTCAATTTAATTGGCAGAAGCTCAGTTTCCTTTTATTTTTCAAAGTTATAAATTATCTGGCATTTGTTTATCCCCTGAACAAGAAAAAATGCCCCCCCCCCAAAAAAAAAATTGCAATAACTGCAGCAACTGAAACAAAAGATGAAATATTTAAGGGTAGTGTTATAGTACATATCAATATTAGTTCAGTTAGCTGGGACCATAATTATTTCTTATTGAAACACTGCTTCCAAATGTTGAGTACAAATTTCGTGAGAAAATTATTTTTCTATTTTCTTTTTTTTTTTTTGGATATAGACAAGCTTTATTATACAGTTGTCAAAGATGTTCTTTTTTTCTTATCAAAGTTATCTTTGAATTCAAAAATAACAATTGTCATTAAGAAATATCAGTTCTAAAAACAAATTTTACAGTATTTAAAAGTAACGGTGGAATGTTTAACTGTCTTTTTTTTTCATACTGCAAGACTATCACTTGGTTATTTTGCAGGATTGACACAACTAGTTGATGCCAAAGTTCAATGTTTACTTTCATTTTATTAAGCATTTACTTTCACTTTATACCATGTGACACAATTTTTATTCATCATTGTTAGAATGTGATTAATGCCACTATTTTATTATTTTTTTTTTTGCTTTCAGAATCTTCTGCATGATAACAAAAATGCATTTTTTTAAACTCTGAAAACTTATTCGTACTTTTTGTTAACTCCGTTTTACTAACAACTATACACAAAAACTGCTGACATCACCAAATGCTGTGTAGTTGTGCTCTAGAAGGCCTCTTTGTTATAGCTTTATATTGTGTTTATATTTTTCTCGTATATGTTCTTATTAATAATTTATATCTACAGGGTAATACAGGGGTTTGTACAGCAAAGCTTGCTTATTTCCATATACTGCAGCCAAACATTTCATCAAATTCAAAGTGATAGTTTTCTCTGTGTCTTGTCTAGAAATTTCATTTGATTTGGGACTAATTAATTTACATCTCACTTGCATTGATTTTTTATTAACTTTGATTTTGGGGATTTCTTGGAGTCTTCAGATTAAAGGATTAATTTGTATTTTAACTCCACGTGTGAATAAATCTTAAGTTTAGATTAAGTCAGGTGTACTTGGACTTTCCATGTACTTTCGTTGTCTCTTGTGTTTTATAAGTTTTGAAGGTAAACAGGTTGTTATATATAATTACAAGTGATGATTTGTGATACATAAACTCACTCCTACAAAGGTATTATGTCCCTCCAAACTTGACATGTAGATAAAAAATTTAATATTTTTTTCCAACAATTTTAATTTTTACAAATTTGCAAAAGAATTTAATGAAGAAAGTATCACTTCATATTTTTTTTTTTTTTTTGGTTTTGGTTTAAAAAACTGGGATATTTTTCTTTCTCCAGTATGTAAGTTTTGAATGGTACTTAATTTTTAAATGTGGGTTATCTTTTCTTTGCTGAGGGACATTTTACTGAGTCACTGAAATAAATGAAAAAAAAAAATTATATACAACTTTTGTGATGATTACAAACTTGGTGCATTTGTAGACATGTATGCAATATTTCTTCATATGTTAGGTGTTGCATTTTTTAGAAACAAAATAATTATGTATGTATCATTCTTATATAGATATATATATTTTTTGTGTTACAGTTATGGCAAATATTGTTATGTACATATATATACATGTATCATTCATTTACAATGTATTCTCAAAAACTTGCCTCAGTTTGTATTAAGTTTATTTTTGTAAACCAAATTTTTCAGTCTCTCTTTTGAAAAATATTAAAGTTTCAACTGCTAAGGGTACATGTAATATGTGCTTGAAAGTGACACTTTTAAAATTGGTTTATATTGTACTAATGAAGTACATATTGTTAAAAATGAATAGAAACTTACAAAGTTGATCAAATTTATTTTTCCAGTTTATTTGATTATATAACACTCATTTGGAATTTGATTGATTTTTTGCCCTCTAAACTAAATTTACTGAAATGAAGATTTGGTTTACAGCATGTTAGTTAAGTGCATTTATTAACTTTAGTCTTAGAAATTGTTAAAAATCTGATATTACTTCTATCCCAAAAGAGAAACAAATGTTTTTTTTTCTCTCAACAATAAGTTTGTAAACATATGTAACAGTGTGTTTCTCTAGTGATTCTGTGTATTAATGGTATATTTTAATTTCTAAAAAGTAATTTATTTTTACTTTACACCAAATATGATTTTGTTTACACCTTTTCTGTAATCAAAGACGGCATTTACTTTATTAATTTTTTGATGTTTATTTTTTTTATTTTTGAAACAACTTATACAATTGTTTTTTGGGATTCACATCTTTAAGAAGTCAAAGGTGGTAACCTGTTGACCACTAATTAATGAATCAATAAATGAAAGGAGAACTTTTTCTCGCAGAACAAAATTTATTTACATAACATAGAGAATTGTAATATTGTAAACTTGTTGGGCAGAATATCATCATTTTAGATTCAACTTAGCCCCTTTGTCACAAACACTGCATGTATTGAAAATTGTTTCATAATGTAATATGATTTTTTAATTTGAGAAAATTTCATCCTCAATTTGATATTCTAAATGAAAATATTCAATGCATTGTCTCTAAAAAAAATGTTTTAAGTTTTTTTTTAAAGTAAAATGGAAACTGTATATATCTGATGTAAATTTATACACGTATTATTTCACCGCCAAAAAATGTGACGTGCAGAAGGGTTTTGAAAAGTATGTTTTTATAGATAATTTTTTTTGAGCCTCTGGAAAAATAGCCAAATAATTGTAATGTTTACAAGTTGACAGACTCGGACAAGTTTATTTTCCCCCCATTTAGCACGTGTAGATCTGTATATTATTTTTAGATTTGTTGGCCTTGTTAACATGGCCTCTCGTTTGTTGTCCTAGTTATAATTATTAGTAGTTGTGTTGTGAAATGCTTTTTCTTTCTTGGTGCTAAATATAATTATATATATTGATGTTTTAAGCTTCATTGTTAGAAACTTGTACTTAAAAGTACATCATTAAAGTTAGATCTGATTAATTAAAAAGTCTTGTGGTTGTCTTTTCTTGTCCTAGTTTATGGATGAAACATATAGAGATAACAAACAGTATTCAGTCTCAAAGTCCATTAAACAATACAAAATAGGAGCAGAGCAAACACGGACCTCCAAAACATGGGAGTTGGGATCAGGTGCCACTGAAGAGTGAGCATCCCCTGTCGACCGGTCACACCGGCCGTGTGCTCCTTGTCATGATCGAGAAATAACGGAAAAATCCGTCGTCAATTCAGTGCACAAACAATGGACTAACAAACGTCAATTGACTCAATGATAAATTGTATTTGCTGACAAGGTCATTGTATCGACCATAGATCTTACGGAATGATGACTTTAAACGAGACTGCTGATATTCCTGTTTCATCAACTTGTTTGTCAACAATTTACCTCGTTTTAGAAATTTGTCATATCTAGAGCATGCTCTTGCGTATCGAATCAACTGAGATACATTAACTCCGTTTGCAAATGATGAAGGTATATTGCAGCATAAGTAAGCGAAATTGACAATAGAACAGTTAACGTCATCACGTTTATCATAGATGTTGGTTGTTAGATTACCATTAACGTCTTTTTCAAGTAAAATATCCAAATATGAAACAGATGTATCTCAAGCTCACCAGGATATATCGTATTGACATAAGAATGGAAATTACAATTGTTAATTGACAATACGAGGGACGTTCAATAAATAATGTCAATAGCTCTATGACATACAACATAGTAGTCATATGACATAAAGCTTGACATTCTCTCATTATTAAATCTTTAATGAATTGATAGCAGTTGTGTGACCACGTTTCATCGCATTATTTCATCGTGGGAAGCTGGAAAACAAGGGCTATTCGAGACACTGCATTAAAAATGAATGGTCAAGTATCAGTAAACTAGAGTAAAATTAAACGCTTCATTAAAGCAGCTGTAAACTTGTTAATATCCCAAAAATATATTAATTGAAATATGTGAAATTTACAGCAACCAATGCCTGTTTTATAGACATGTGAACAAGTAAATTTCAATAAACAAAAATTATATAATGGGCATCAAAAATGGGTACCGTCCTTGACAACAATGACTTACAACAACCGATGTAAATTTACGAAATTTCAACAAATTATCACTGATTATGTTTTATTGACTTTAAGATACATAGCAAAATTGATAAAAATCATTTTGGGGATAGTTTATAGTAAAAACGTTTAATACTCAAAGGTCACCCTATATTTTCAAAAAAATGAGTGAAAACGACAGCGTGTAGGAATATCCAAACAATTATTTTAAAAAATCAAAAATTGTACTTATCCACGTTTGTTTGAAATTCTAACAGATGATGAAACTTGAATCCATTTTGCTTTAAGCCCTCAAAAAAATTTACAGTAAGATGCACTTGACAAAACTGCAAAGGCCTAAGAAGAGCAAAGAATTGCAAGAGCATAAAACAGTTTTATATGCAATTTTCTTAAATATTAACGGTCTTGTTGTTCAAATTCATATTCGGGGAGGAAGTTCAATTTCTGGAGGAGTCTAGAAAACAATTTTTTTAAAAAGAAATGAAAGGTTTACGAGAGGAAGGAAACAATGAGGAATTCATTACATTAAATGTCTTCATGACAGCATCCAAACCCACAGGCCATGAAGAGTAAAGGAGTTTTGGGGATAAACAGAAAGTTAATGTTTTGTCAAACCAACAAAATTTGCCAGATCTTTCAACCTTTGACTTGTTTCATTTCCTAAACTTAGAAAAACATCTATCAGAAAGAAAAAAAACAAGTACAGCAAATCATGGAATCTGCCATATTCCAGTATACGAAGGGTCATACTCAAAAATATGTTCGAAAAACAATTTGAAATTGAATGAAAATGTTACGGATATGCGTTTTAATTAAAAGAGAATAATTTAGTTTAATCATTAAGACTAAGTCATAGAAAAGCGTTTTTTTTGTTTCTTTCTTAGCCCCAATGACATTATTTATTGAACGCCCCTCGTACGTCGTCGATATATATAAATGTCGAGTTGAAGGCCACAGCAAGTGTTTTCTTCTTCTCACGCATTAGATTTTGAACAAATTCTGTTTCATATTAATACAAAAAATAGGTCTGCTTTGAGATAACAAACAGTATTCAGCCTTACAAGTCCACTGGATCAGGTACCATGGAGGAGTGACCCTGTCGACGGTCACACCCGCCGTGTGCTCCTTGTTATGATTGGGGAGTAACGGTAGAATCTTGGATGCTATTCTTACCCTTTTTGTGAGAGATCCTCAGTATATAACCATGTAATCTTAGGGATTGTATGAAAAAATCAAGATTTTAAATATTTTGAATATGTAAAAGGAGCATAATTGATACAGAGAAACTGGACAAAGATATAAGAAGAATATTGCGAATTTGTAATTTGAATTTAGAATTGAAATTATAAGGACAGAAAAAGATTTATTAAAAGCAGTTGTTTGGCCTTAGGTAAAAGCTACCAGTTGACCAGGATAAGTTCGCACTGAAGGATGGAATTCTTTAGTTGGTCAAAGTGTGACAGCCATGTGCTTTTGAGTCAAAGGACAAAAACAAGATGAGAATCAGAATCCGCATATGCTTGAATTTATTCTAGGAGAGATCTTTTGATGTTAGAACACCATAATAGTAAGGATTGGTCATTTCAGCAAATAGAGTATTCAGTGTACTTTATTCCGAGGCTATGTGTTATAGTTATATGTCACATGGGCACTTTTTTGGACGAGACTGTTTACTCGAAATGAAAATCCCCACGTCACAAAATATTTAAAAATACCATGTCTATCAATTTTAAAATTTAATCGCCTTATATCCATATTTTTCTCATAGAATCACAACAAATAATCTGAAAAAAATAAATACATGTAAGTACACGAAACACAAAAATGTACATAATTGTAATAAAACCGAAAAAAGTCTGTATTTATTTTACTGCAGATATATTTCCTACACACCGATTTGCCTGTAAAGAGAAAAGAATTTTTTTTAATCGGAATATTTTCAATGAGTCTGGAATTTCCTTTTTAAAAATATATTATTCCTCTCAAATTCATGTTATTTTTGTACAAGAATAAAACACTTCATGCTACTTAAACAGAATCATTAGAATATATTCTTTTCCCCCTACATTCATAAATTATTATGTAATAATAAATGACGAGAAATGTCCCTTCTTCCTGGGCCTCTTTAGTAAATAAATACCTGAAACTGACTTAAACGTTCAAATCAAACTCAGTAAACTACAAAAGAATTCTCATTTAGCTTTTTAAAATTATTTTACTTTTATATACAGAAACCGTTTTAAAAAAATTATCAAAATTAAAATAGAGGCACTTACTACAAATAACCATATCATCCCATCTGTATTGTTGCTACGTTTCCCGCCGTCTGCCACGTGACCACGCCGCCATTGCTTTGGATTGCTCCACTCTGTATTGCACTCGAACACAGGGGTTCGGACTGTCAAATTCAAATAAAGATTTCTCTCTCTTAAAGTCTGCACAACTTTCTATCCTCAATTAAAATTTGGGTAATGAAAAATTAAGATAACTTGGGATAATCATACTCGAAACTTAAACTTATTAATACATTTAAAAAATTGAGATTAGAGCAGGATCAGACCTCTGAAAATATCAGAGATGAATCAAGTGTCATAAAGGGGTAAACAACCCATATATTGTAATAAAAAGTTATTTGTAAATAAAGAAACTACGTATAGTGTGTGAGAGATAGACTGAAGAGTTCAATTACCGCTGGATAAGAAGCTGTTCCATCAACAATTCTTAGTTGACAACCAGATGGACAGGTCGCCCTGAAACAAACACACATATTCAACAACAATCCTTCAGAAAAACTGTCCTCACAAATATAGTAAAACTCTAAAATAAAATGACGATTTGATAAATTTGATTTTCATTCCAAAGTTCCATGTGGTTATAAAATTTATTATAATTGTTAATGGAATGAATAAAACGAATAACGTTTATAAGGATTCGCATTCGCTCATCCCTATCACTTTGTTATAAGAGTGCTTTACGGTACGAATGTTTTTTGTCATAATTGTTTGTAGTGAAATTATTATGTGACAAGCTTATAAAGCCTATTTCGCTTTGACAGCTGTTTAAAATTCAAACTCAAAGTTATCTTTTTTGTTCGACATTTAAAGACTCTGTAACAAATAACTTACCCACACAGTTTACCGGGGCATGGTGTAAAAGGTACATCACAAGTTACCATGCCTTTGTCTTCATAAACTGCAAAAGTACTTATACCTCATATAAAATTTTCTTAATGAAAAAAAGTGAAGAAAACATATCCATAAAGAGCACATTAAACAAGGGTCCGTGTAACACTTAACAATTCAAATTTCTAAAATGATTTCGAGTTTTAGAATGTTAATATATCGGTATTAGTTCAAATTTCTAACTTTCAAAAACTCAAACTGATTTGATATATTGAAATTTAATATTTTAGTTCAAAAATCTAAATATTCAATATTCCAAACAGGTTTTAGAATTTTAAGTTTTTAGATTTTTACCTTAAATATTCAACATTCAAATTTCCAAAAACAAATTTTGTATTTTAAACTTTTAAGTTTTTAATCTACCGTTTGTTTAGAAAGTTTACGCTTAACAATCTAAAGTTCAGTACAATTTTACGACTTTTGATATTTCAAAATTTACTTCAAACTTCTAAATTTCAACTTTCAAAACGTTTTAGATTTTTAGAAAGTTAGAATTTTGATTCAAATATTCAAATTTCAAATACTAGTAACCAAAACACTTGGAGTTTTTAGATATTTACTTAAAATATCTAAAATATCAAATTCCAAACCTGCTTGAATTTTGAAACTTTTACAGAAATACTTTTGTTTAAGCATAATATATTCTAGATAGTTAGAATATTGAACTGATATTCAAAATTGAAATCGGGCTGAGAAATTTGATATTTTGGATATATATTATAAAGTAAAATTCTAAAGCTCAAAGTGTTAAGGTTATTTGAAATTAGAACATTTGAATAAAATTCCAAACTTCTATAAATCTAACACGTTTCAAAGTTGGATTTTAGATGTTTGAAGCTAATTTTAAATAATCAAAAGACGTAAAGTATTACTGTACTATAGATTGTTAAGTGTTAACTTTCTGAACAAACGATAGACTAAAAAGTCAAAAGTTTAAAATACAAAAATCGTTTCTGGAAATTTGAATTTTGAACATTTAGGGTAAAAATCTAAAATATCAAAATTTTAAAACCTGTTTGGAAATTTGAAAATTTGGATTTTTGAACTAAAATATTAATTTTCAATATACCTAATCAGTTTGAGTTTTTTAAAGTTAGATATTTGAACTAATATACTAACATTCTAAAACTCTAAATTTTTTTTTTTAGAAATTTGAATTGTTAAGTGTTACACGGACCTTCCCAAAGCATGTTTTTGAAGTCAAATACGGTATTTGGAAAACATAATTGTTATCTTTCCCGATCATGACAAAGGATCTAAAATATCAAATTCCAAACCTGCTTGAAACTTTTACAGAAATACTTTTGGTTAAGCAAAATATATTTTAGATGGTGGGTGTGACCGGTCGGCAGGAGGTGTTCACTCCTCCATGGCACCTGATCCCACCTCCGATGTTTTGGCGGTCCGTGTTTGATCTGCTCCTATTTTGTATTGTTTTATGGACTTTTGATCTTGAAAACTGTTCGTTATTTCCAAATGTTTCAATTAAAGTAAATGAATATACAAATGTTTAACTATTCATTGTAATATTTACGATTATTTACAGGAATTTTAGGTAAAGTTATAAACTTGCATGTGGAAATATAGAAACCAGTTCTACCCTTTTGTAACTTTCCTTCCCTCCCCCTACTTTTGCCTTTTTGCCCTTCTGTTTAACCCCTTTCATTCCATATATGCCCTGCCACTACATGTACCTCTTCCTTCTTTTGCCTTTAATGATGCCTTCTTTTGCTTTGCATCTTTCCCAACAAAATTGTACTTTTACTGACCATTTGCATTCCAAACCTCAAAGGGTTTCATACATAAAAAAAACTTGTTTTAACCTTACCAAAAGCCGTTGCATTGTCGGAGCCATAAATATTGGACGCCACACACATATAACGACCATAATCAGCAGGCCGGTTGACTGACAGTACCAGTAGGGTGTGGTCTGGTAGAACCACGTGTGTGGGGTTGGGTACCACGGGTTTACCGTCATGGTACCACTGAACATTGAGTGGCGCCTCACCAGAAGCCTTGCAGTCGATAGCAAAACTTGTGGTGGAAGGTTTTACGGGAAACATGTGGTTACCGGCTATCTCAACTTTTCCAGGTCCTAAAATGTCATATAATGATTAAAGTTTACGATTATATACATGAAACTACATGTAGATCCTAGGTTACCATTGTCAGTGCCCAAGATGCTTCCACAGAAAAATCCCTCCCCATCTTATATTTCAAAGATGTTAAGGAGCATGCAGTATTCTTGCAATTGGTTGATTGTTGATTGATTGTATGTTGTTTAACGTCCCTCTCGACAATTTTAAAGTCATATGGAGACGCAGCCACTTGCCGGTGGAGAGCTGCAAATTTTGTCCTATGCTCGGGACTATGGGCCATTGAGCAGTGAGGGATCTTTCTCATGCCAGCACCTACTGCGACACGGGACCTCGGTTTATGCGATCTCATCCGAAGGACCGGCCTCCACGTCCCACAATTAATGGGATTCGAACAAGCAACGTAAGGATCAACTCCTTACTCTGCGACTCTACAGCAGACGCTCTTACCACTGCGCCACGCGGGCGACTGCAACTGGTTGGAAAATGAGGTTAAAGCTAAAGAGACAAGGAGATGGTCATTGAAGTGTAACTACAGTTGGTTACGGGTATTATGTTCACAAATGTCGCTAGCTTTGTATAAATTTTGAATTTTCATATGTATTCTGAGTACATAGTGTGTGCTGTTGTGCGTGATATATGATAATTAAACATCAAATATTGATCATTGTGCATGAAACATGATATATAAAAGAAAAGGTTAACTGGAAATGGCTACATGAGGTTTTCAACGGTCGGTTCGTTTTTCCTCAGGTAAGTTTTTATGTGATGTGTGGAATGTACATTTGTATATATGAGACAAGATGAATTAAGAGTTACCATGTACCACCAGAGAGACCACGGAGTTGACGGTGCCGAAGGAGTTGGTAGCCCGGCAGATGTAGGACCCCGCGTCCCCGGTCTGGAGATTCAGTAGCACCAGGTCTCCCTTCTTATCCTCGTACGCGTTGTTGACGTTCGGCTAGAAAGAGCGGGAAAATTAATATTTACTGTATATAGGTAGACTGCGCAGAGAGTAAGGAAGTTAAAATTCTGTTTCTTAAATGAATAAAGTGAAAGATACATAATATGCAGACATCAATACATTGAGGATTATTGTTTACGTTTGTTTAGAAAGAGAACAAGGAGGTTCGGGATTTTGTTACTTTAATATCTTGGGAGCTGGTAACTTTCAAGCTATCGACTGATATCAATCTTTAAGGACAAACGATACAAACAAACTTTGTCAAAAGATATGAAATTAACAACCTGAGTCATGTTTTAATGAGTAAAATGAAAAACTTTCAACGCATGGTTTTTTATTTTTTTATTTAAATTTTCACAAAAATGAGATTTGAAGTGAAAAATATTTGTATAGCTTAATAAGGATGGTTTCAGAGAGGCAGAGTTTTGAACATCACAGAAGGTTTACAAATTCTTCATATTCTAGAAATTTATCATTTGCTTTATTTTCAATAAAATTAGGCCAAAAAATAAATACCAATCCATGCATCCATTTTTTGTTTCTTTCATCTGTCCTTAAGGAAATATAGAATTTAGATTGGCAAATAATCATAATGGATTTAATTTCACTATATTCACGACTTTTTTTTATCATTTTTCCGCGAAATTCATACTAATAATGTTGTCATTAGTTTTTGAAAACGTTATAGACGTAATTTAGATTTATTTCTTGCAGCGTGAAATTTAAACTTTTGTATTTATTTTTTTTTTCTTCAAGAAACACAACAATGTTTTTCAAAAATGAAATAAAAAATTAATATCTGTTCAAATTCCACACTTATGTATGCTGGTTTTTACTGCTTATGAACATTTGATAATACACTGTTCTGTATTTTAAACTAACTAATATTTTTGAAAATTTTCAGTGGCAAAGGTACATATGCACTGTAGAGAACAGTTTCATGTCATTTTTTTAACATATGTCATGTTGTAAATTTTGTTTTTACTGCCACCCGGTAAATTCAAGACAAATGGCTCTAAATTAGGGATGTCAAAATTGTCAATAATTGATATTCGAATATTCGATAGAAGTATTCGAATATATTCGAATATTCGATAAAATAAATACATCTTGCATTATTAAATACATATCTTCATTCTCCCCTCAAGGTGCCATTATGCCATTATTTTGGAATAAAAACTCATGTAGAGTTCGGTAAATGCACTGCTATTTTATATATATTTTTTAATTATTGAAAATATGAATAGTATGCATCCAAAATGTAATGATTGTTTTTTTCTTTTAATTCATAAGATTCTTTAGTGTGTTCCAGATTTTTGATCTTCTTATAAGTCTACACTGATAGCTTACAAATTTATACCAAGCAGAACAATTATCTAATGGTGAAATATTAATACAATTACTTTTTGCTAATTAATTTCCTGAAAATGATTTTTAAGGATATTTATATAAACAAGGGAATCCATGTGTTTACTTTAAAACTGTGTCTTTACAACAATACAAGCTGATTGTAAGCACTGGACACTATTATACCACTAATTAAGTGAATAAATAAATAAATTACTCCAATTGATACGCTTTTCACACCTTTAAGGTAATTATAGAGCAGTGGGTTTTTTTTAATTTTGTACAAACTTGATTCAATTTCTAATAAAACTTGCTAGGTTTTTCTCTCTTTTTAATGCTTGTATACTTAAAAACGAATATTCGAATCATAAATTTATATTCGAATATCAACTCCTCATTTCGAAATTCGTTGACATCCCTACTCTAAATGGAACTTGATTTGATACTCACTGGAGCTACCCATGTTGTTATGGGTTTGGGTTCGCCGTGTACGTCACAGTGAAGCGTTATGTTATGTCCCACAAGGCCTGTCACTGGGGTTGGGGGTGTTATTGAGGGGGGACCTGAAAAATGGAGTTTTTTTTTCTCAGAAAGAAAAAATTTCGGTAGAGAGAGAATTATTTGCTGTTGATGGATTGAGATGACACATTGCTTTATTACCAGCACCTGCTCAATTTTATTACCTGTGTATTAAAGGGCAGATTGATATTAATATTTTAAGTAATAATATTAAAATGATAACAAAAACAATAGAGGCCATTTAACGAACAAGCTTGAGTTTTGAAGTTAGAGAAAAGGTTTTTTTTTAGGTATCCATTTTCTAGATTGGTTCTGTTCCCTTGCTTGATCAAAACGAAGCCATTTTGATAAACCATTACTCTGATGAAGCTGTATCTACATGTACATCCTTATTCCCCGAATACATCAGTGAAAATATTTAAAGGTTGAAACCATAACTCGTATATAAAACAGAAATTAACATATATATACTCAGTACAAACCTTGTGTCAGAAGATACGCATGCTCAGAGATAGTCTCTACCCCATTGCTCGCTTCACATACATACTCCCCTCTATCCGCTATCCCCACGGACGGGATCCCCAGCTGTGACCCCTCGGGAATCTCAATAACGCCGTCCGTAATCTTAGTTCGTGTACCGTCTTTGTTCACGTGGTACCACGTGACTGTAGGTTTGGGCTCACCGCCAAATTTACATTCGAACACGACGTTTTGACCCACGAGTAAAGTATGGTTTGATATGTGGTCCACTATTCTTATGTGCTCTATTAAATAATAAAATGAATATATCTCATGTATTTATGTATATTTAAATTATCGAATTTAAAAAGATGATTTTATATACGCGCATGTTTTTAACGTATTGACTGTTACCTTGGCTGATTATTTGTTCAATATAACTATGTGATTCTTTCATTATTATACATGTACATATTATGTCTTAATGACTTAACTGGGTATTGTATCTCATTTCTGTTTGTTATTTTAGACAGGATGTTTTTTATTTCATTTACGTAAATTAAATTTAATCATTTGGTCAACAAACGTCTACCTGCAATAATACAAGACTAAGTGTATAACAATTTGAAAATGATTCTGTATGTACTGACAGTAGAAACTGAATTTAAGATAAATAATCACTGAACTGCTTAACATATCCTCTTCTACATTACATGTAAATAAAATCAACAAGAGCAATCATACCATATACATTAAGTTGGACTGTTTTTGACGCCTGACCGAGAGCGCTGGAAGCCGTGCACATATAGGTCCCTGAATTAGCGTCGGGATCGAGATTGGGCAGAGTAATAGTTTCTTGGTTGGAAAATGGAATAACTTTTGATGATCCATTTTTGGAGGATAATATCCACTCCACTTTTGGTTTGGGATGACCGTGCGCATTACAGTGTAAAGTGATGGTTGTTCCCTCAAGAGCGTGGATTTCTTCCGTTGTTTGGTTGAAGTATGGTCTTTCTAAAATGATTGATTGATTGTATACTGTTTAACGTCCCTCTCCAGAATATTTCACTGATATGGAGACGTCACCATTGCCGGTGAAGGGCTGCAAATTTAGGCCTATGCTCGGCACTCAAGGCCTTTGAGCAGGGAGGGATCTTTATCGTGCCACACCTGCTGTGACACGGGGCCTCGGTTTATACGGTCTCATCCGAAGGACCGCCCCATTTAGTCGCCTTTTACGACAAGCAAGGGGGTACTGAGGACCTATTCTAACCTGGATCCCCACGGGGTTCTTTCTTAGATAAATAATATAATAAACATTGCATGAAACTGAGAATTGATCTGAAGATTGAAACCTCTAAATTCACCCGAGACGCATATTATTTTCCAAAGAAACTAACTAATCTCTCTGATACAATTTTGTTCACGATGAAATTTTTTTTAAAGAAAACGACATGCAGTGTCATGCACACAAAATCTCTTTCTATCTCTCTCATGATTTCACGCGCCTACACGCGCATATTACCTAGACTATCACAGCATGAGGACACAGGGTGTGCTGGCTGCATTGTCACCGCCTCCCCACGGTCCCCTTTTGTTCCAGGTTCTCCTTTCAGACCCTGGGGGCCACTAGAGCCGTTAACCCCGGGATCGCCCTTTTCACCACGTACCCCCGGAGGTCCAGGCGTGCCAGGTGTTCCCGAGTCTCCTTTGTCACCCTTAAAAAGGTAGATTCAAATTGTATATTTTTAGTGATAAGAAGTTGGCTTCATCTTTTATCTTTCAGACTCAAAAAATTATTGAAGCTAGTTGTAGAATGAAAAGTCTTTGATTTAAAATAATGTTTAAATAAAAAAAAAAATTGTCATCTAATAGATAAATAGCTAATTTGACTTATATTTAAAACAGGGGCATATCTTTTTAAAGAAACATGCATCGAACGAAAAATAGTTATTAAACAACTATTAATATTTAACCTTTAATCCTGGGAACCCTGCAGCTCCTTTAGCCCCGGGAATTCCAGGTGGACCAAAATCTCCTCTGTCTCCCTTTTGTCCCAACATACCTGGGTCACCCACTCGACCTTTTTCACCTTTGACCCCCGGGGGACCTGGGGCCCCGTCTTTTCCGGGCGGACCCTCTGACCCCAGGTCTCCTTTATCGCCCTTGTCTCCTTTTATTCCCGCCGGGCCGCTCAGCCCCGGAAGTCCATCTACGCCCTTGTCACCTTTGACCCCCGGGAATCCCAGCATTCCCGGTTCTCCTTTTAGACCTTTTAGGCCGGGTGAACCTATATCGCCCTTTGACCCCTGAAATGTTCAGCATTAAATTAACATAATCAGGTGTTAAAATAAAGAACCAAAGCAACATTTTGTATGAGACATATGCAGAAAAATACAGTAAATCATGATTACAGCGAAAGATGGAATCACAAAAATGGTACAGGATTCATTTTCAAGGAGGAAAAACGCGTCATACCTTCTCACCTGCTGTCCCGGAATCCCCCTTTATCCCCGCAGTTCCAGCAAGGCCGGGGTCCCCTTTCTCGCCCTTAGGTCCTGTAAAAAGTTACATTATAGTAATATAGCTATTGAATTATCATCGCTTTCACAGACAGCCTAAATACGATCACGGATGTGTACACTGTGAGCTGCAGCTTCTTGTAATCGACTGTAAGTTTTCGGAATGAACAATCATTTTTCGCAAAGAAGTAAAAATACATGAAATATCACTACGACATATCCAGGGTATTCGAAACAATTTATACCGAAATTCAACTGTACATATAAATGTACGTTTTTTCGCGTACATTTTAAATAAAGCCTAAATATAATTAATGTACGTTTGAGTCAAAAGTTTTATAACGTTCCAAACACTATTACCTTAAAGAATAACGACTTATTTTTGTTAATTTAGAATTTCATCCAAGAAGTCTTTAAGCTTAAAAAAACTTACCTGGTAGGCATATTGTGCTATTCTGTCCACAATATTTGTTGAAAATTGCAAGCTAAAGAGAGAAAAAATTACCATTTGTTTAATAAGGTAATTTTTCTTTAATAGGGTATTTTTCTTTGAATTGCTCTTTTATAGCGTTGTCCATATACAAATAAAAAAGCATATTATAATCAAAATTTTACTTCCTACCTCAGAATTTGCTAGTTGTTCAAATATCTGCGCCATTTCATTACCGGATGTGCTTTGACGTAATTTTCGCGCTCTTTCTGTGTCGTCTGCTTTTAAAAACTGGATAATTTCTCTGACAAAATTACTTAACGTATGATCCATCTCGGTTTCATCATTGGCCTGAAAGTGAATCGTCTTCATTTAATATAAATCATTGTCCAAACTACATATAACGATCTTACTGAACAAAATGTGTGAGCTAAAATTACACAATTATCAATTATTATGCTTCCTGTCAGTTTGTCTCTATATAACCCATACCCTACTATTCTCGCATAGTGGTCTAAGGATTTATATAGCGTAAACATACTATGCCGAAATAGTGCACGGCTTTATTTACTGAATAAAATTCTTCCATGCACATGCCGGGGATCGAACTCACGCCCATGAGATTGTCAATCCGATGCCTTATCGATTACGCCATAGAGACGATCACTGAGTACTGCAATTTTATTAAATATATAAACTTAATTTATATAATTGACTCAAGAAGGAGAGAATAGACAAATATTATTTGAAAACAGTTATATTATTCTAAGGAACTTTAGATTAATGTGTACAACAAACTTTCAAAGTAATTACATACAGATCGTTAGATGAACTGATTTTATAGGGTCATTAAAACGCTTTTTTATATGACGCTTGATTGAAGGATGTAAAGAAAATTATCAATGAGAATCGACGTCTGCAAACAAATAAGGCTTACTAATATAACAGAAAATAAAGATGTGTTGCTTTTGGACAGAAAATCCCGACTTATTTAGAGAAAATACTAGTAACCAAAATAACTAAGATTGCAAACAATTTTAGCATGAATATTTTGAATGAGTTCTTGCAAGTGCGCTGTTTAAGCACCGATATTTTCAGGAAAAAGTCAAATAGATTGCCGCATAAATAATTACAACAGTCAGTATAATAATAACAATAGTGTTGCATTATGCATGTACTATAAATATTAGGTCAGGGTTTGACACATAGTGCACTCGCCTCCGGCTCGTGCACCATGTGTCAAACCCTGCCTACTATTTAGGCATAGTACATGCATAATGCAACACTATTATATAAACATAAATTTTGTAATTCTCTTTGTGGTTATGGTTTACAATTATGATGAATTTTAAAGAATATTGCATGGGTGAGCACTTCAATTCAATTCAATTTATTCACTTAAAACCATGTAAATGGTACATGAGGTACAAAAATATGTGTAACATATATACATATAATACAATGGGTCTAGCAGAAGGTGATACTAGTAACTAAGGAGAACAGACAATATTATTAATTTTAGAAATAAATGTACATAATTTTTTATGTACAAAGAATCAACATCGATTTCGCACATGACTTCAAAAAACTTGATAATATTTGGATTAGAGCAAAATTTTTGGTTCAAATAAACTTTCCTCAGTTGCTTTAAAGCACTACATTCTAAGACATACGTAATGATATTCATCTCCTATCTGGTTACTACTGCATAAGCTACAAACTCTTTCATTTCTCTGAGTATCATTCCATCTCCCCATTCAGCACCAGAATTATATTGTTTAACATTTGCTAAAAATTCATCTGTTGTAATAAAATCATTCAATTTGCCCCTCTGGAATTAAAATTTCCCAACAAACAAGCATTTTTACAATTTTTGGAGATCGACATGAGCTCCTGTTCTATTGAAATGATGTTAATTAATCCGTAAATCAAGACATATGAATTAAGTAATATTTTTGTTGAAAATGTAAATTTACTTTGTTGATTTTTTTATACGGATTGTACAACCTTCAGTTGAAGTGCTTCAGCTATACTTGCCCTAATATTTCTCCGTAGACGTGCCCCATCGTTGCTGATTACATCAACAATATTTCGTCCATTTTGCTGTAAAAATACACATAAAAAATTAAAAATAATTAAAATACGCATACTCAGTATACCAATTTATCACATCTCTACAATCTACATAAATACCGAATGTGTAGTTTATGACATGTATAAAAAATTTTAAACACGAAAGTAAAAATGTTTCTAGTCCGCAAACTCGACAACATTTCATGGAGAAAAATACTTTGGCCTTTTTTTTTTTTTTGCTTTACTTTTAAAAACATTGCTCGTAATTTTTGATTGGTTGGAGCTTAGGTTTTTAATAAGATTTCACGCGTATTCCTTTTGGCAATACCTTTTTTTGAGTATGCATTAATTTGCCTTGAATTTTGACACAACAAATTCAAAGAATTGTGGTCCCCGCTTTCGGTGTCTAATTAGTGAGTAAGGAATATAATCTTGTTGGAGAAAAAAAATTCCCATTAAGAGAAAATATCCCATATGACATTTTTCTCCCATGAGAGAATGGTGGGACGGAAAATCCCACCATTCTCCCATTGGATTCTGACGTTTAGAATTGTTATACCTCATCATAATTATTCTATACAACGCGTTATCTGATTGGTTCAACATATCATGTGATACTGCTTAGAAATCCCACCAAGTGATATAAAAACATTTTTATATATATCATTTGGTGGGATTTCTGAGCAGTGTCACATGGTGTCATGTTAAAGTGAGAAACATGTCCATGTTGAAAGATATGAAGATATAAACGTCAGAATCCAATGGGATAATGGTGGAATTTTCAGTCCCGCCAACTACCCCACCATTCTCCCATGGGAGAAAAAAGTCAAATAGGATATTTTCTCTTAGCGGGAATTTTTTTCTCCCACAAATTTGTTCAAATGGGATAAATCCCACGCATATTGACAATAAAAATCATTTTCAACAACACATGTACCTAGAATATTATATGTTATAAATGATTGATTTGTCATTGTCTTAATTCATAGGATTTATTCCATGTTTCACAATGTATGGGAGAAAATGTCCGTGGGATTTATCCTGAATTTAATTAGATAAAGATTTTCATGCCCCTGGATCGAAAGATCTCGGGGGTATATTTTTGTACTGTCTGTCTGTCTGTTTTCCTGTATGCCTGTTGTCAACTTTTATTATCGTTTGCAGCTAACTGTAAAGTGTCACATTACGTCACGATCCAGTTGACGGCTGCACTCAAAGTAAATTGTACACGCCTCCTAACCTCAAGCCTTACAACCGAAAAGTTCTTTTTATCCCTGATTGGTTGCTCGTGCCAATCAGGGCTATTTCTGTGTCAATGTTGATAATTTGAGTTGACCAATCACGTGAGTTTTTTACGCTGGATGCACTTCACTGACTTGTAACAAGACCTTCCTTTGGGTACAAACACTTTTGACTTAGACCTTTGGAGTTTGACATGCATTTGAGAGAATTCAACAATCTAATCTGCCATACAGGGACATCAGTGTTTCACAAACACATCTTGTTTCCTGGTGTATTTCAAAATTATAAACGGTAGCATTATGTAATATGTTAGGATTGGAGCTATATATTGGGAAATGAATACATTTATGTTGTTATTATAGCACCCTCGAAAGGGGAATTTACCAAGACAACCATTGCTCCTGTATACATATATACGTGCATGCGTGCAAACGAATTAAAGGCATTTCTATTCATAAAAAGGTACATGGCATTGTGTAAATTATGTCCATGTTGAAAATCTACCGTTTAATCAGGTTTAAGAAAGAGGGGGATGGAGGGAGAGAGAGAGAGAATCAAAAAATTCTTAACAGCTTGAAAATAAAGGTACGTGTTGATTCCTTTGTTCATTTCATATCAATAAACCAACAAGCACTCACTTCTAGGAGTCGAATCCGTAACTCATAATAAACAGTAACCCCAACGAAGGCACCCAAATGTAGAACCCCCACACAGTACAGTACAATCAGGGCAACACTCTGCCCGCCGCCATTAGACTGCATGGTTCCCCAGGAGTATTTACATCATATCTAATTATCTATATATCATATGCGGTCTTCTGGCCTCGAGTTCAAAATGTCTTATCTTATAGTGACCTGTTCCATTGAAATTTAGCATTATACCGTCTGCACCTGGTGCCTATCTAAAATCAAAGTACTGAAAGTACTGGGAAGCGCTAAGCATATTGATTTGGAATTCGTCAGAATTATTTTAATTTAAAATGTCCTGTTGTATTGAATTCTAAGCGATTTTTTAAGAGTGCGATAGCGCTAGGTCCAGCACAGTTGTCAAAAGTATGTGAGTCCTGAATATGTGAACCCCGTTGGGATATGAAATTCAGCATATTGCCTCATGACTTTTTTCCAAACATCATACATTATTTTCGTATGTCAAAAGATCAATCTATTTTACTTACAGTACTGTACAAGAAATAGCAAGAAAATATTTTTGCGTGTAAAATTATTTTCATTCTAGGTGGTAATCCAGTTTTCCGATCAAATTTAAACTCTAAGCGTACGTGTAGCTATACTGTCTGAAGACAATACTTTACTGGAAAATGTATACATTGTATTTGAAAAAAAAAATGTTAACACTTGAAAATGTCGCTAAAATTCCTTTACTGCAACACTGAAAGATAAAATCTTCTGGTGATCATATTTAATTACAAATTCATTCTGCGTTTACAAGTTTTTCAAATTGAAGATTGGCATCATGTTGGTAACAACTTCGTATGTAAATGAAATTAACATCCGTAGAATTAACGCCATTTATGTCAGAGATGATATGTAAATATACATTTTAGTATAAAGATATTATACTTATCTTTTGATGCTATCCTGTAATCTCTGATATTCAAATATTTGATTTACAGTGTACATGTATTTGCAATAACATTTGTGTTGATATACAATATGTGTAGTAAATTACGTTTTTGCAATAAAAATTTTACACATCGGATTAAAAATACGTTAAACCTGTTTAATCAAAAGTATTTTTGACTATTGTTGAAATAATTTCAAATGCTTCAGGGGGATGGTGCATTTCACCATTCTTTACTTGTGTATGAGAGAGAGAGAGAGTACTGAAAATAATTGCTCATAATATTTTCTGCTATTTCAATGATTAATAATTCAGGAGTCCAAGAAAAATAATACAGTATTAATCTCAAGTATTAATAAATCTTCATGAAGGTAACAACATTATTTTATTCTGTTTTTAATTAGTCTTCATTAAGAATCGGCAACACAGCTGAGACACATCTTTACATAAACTATTTAATCCTAGTTCCCTACTTAATACACCGTTTGCTTAACATTTCATCAGCCCTATCTCTGTCCATTGCTAAGAACGTTAATTAAAGTTTTAGCATGTTTCGCCATATCCTGCACACTACATGCACAATTCTAGAGCACAATACATGTATTCCGAGAAATATAAGTTTTACTATTTGAGTGGATTCGTTGAAAACACATCCACCACACAAACCACATGTACAACACAAGTATAGACATGCATTAAAAAAGACCGTCCTTGAATGCATTCCAGTCTGTTACTAATTGATACTTAGATGCGAAAATCAATTCCACTGATAAATCTCAGCATGGTGCAAGATGTATTTACATTCTGAAATATATAATTTTAGTTAATATATATATACCACATTATGTAAGTAGTACATTGTAAATCAATTTTATGTGATTTCTTTTATTGGCACTTCCAGTTTGAGATTTAAAACTTTATCAAAATCCCATCTGAGATTTAAATCAAGTACTGGGTACGTAAGAATATTCAATCACTAATGTACATAATAAATAATATATCTAAGTAATTGCGACCTGTTCCAAATTAATGTGTGACAATTTAAATGAACTACAATGTATACAGAAGAGCATGATAAGAACTGCTCTTATCTTCTAACTGTGACTAATTACCTTCTATTATTAGAAATGCACGTAACGCAGCATTACACTAAAATAGCAGAAAGAGAGTCAGGGATTTCCAGTTGCTTTTAGATTAACAAGTGGAGTTATCTAACTTGCTTATAGTGGCGCTGGATACAGAACGGAAGTAGATTTACGCTGACAGAAAGCGCTGTGCGCTGCGCTTAGCGCTTAATGAACTTTTAGTCAAGTGGGAGGAAGACCGTGCAAGTGCAGAATTAGGATTGTTCTTTGCAGTGACGTAGCATCGTTTTTGAAAAGGGGGGGGGGGGAAGCCAGCGAAAAAAAAAGCCTGAAAAAAGTGACACCCCCTCCATAACCGAAAAAAAGTTAGGAAACTTGTCTTACATGTATTTCGAGGGGGAGGGGGTGTCAACCAACTCTTTCATCAGTTTTGGATCATTATACTAGTAGCTATAAATGCTCATGCATTCGCATTTGGTTCAGGAGTTGATCACGTCAGGGGTACGAATCTAAATGCAGGACGTGGAAACCTGCCCGTATGGCATTAGGTCCTAGCACCAAATAACAAATGTCAACAAATCTCTCTCTCTCTCTCTCTCTCTCAGAAAGAGAGAAAATAAATACAAAATTTTCGTTTCTTTTTCAGATAGTTTATTATTTTGAGTGAGAATTGCACAGCTGTTAAGTCTCATTGAACACGTAGAGAAATTAAGAATGAAGTTTCTTAGAGAACTTTTCGTTTGGAATGAATGAATTTGTGTTTTGACACATGGCTTACAAAATAAATATTTTAAAAATGTCTTTATAAAACCATTTTCAGCTTGACTGTATATGCCTATACATTGTATATTCCTACAAATTGTAAATGCAAAATCTTATATAGTATATAAACCAATCATTCTTCTTTTAAAATTTCAGTAAAAAAATCAAAATTTGGTCTATATCAAAATTGAAGCATGAGTTTTTGATTCCAATGAGCCTATCTCCAAAAAAGTCTCAAAAAAAAAAAATGATGGAAACGATGTAATGAACACATAATGCAAAATTTAAGCATCTCTTTCAAAATAATTGACTGTAAAATTTTAATAGCAATCTAATGAATGAAACTGAAGCTGATAGTTATAAATGCATCGAAAATTGTATAAAGATGAATTCTCGTAAATTAAGCACCTTTACTAAACATGGAAACCATCATACAAACTTATTCCGTGAAAATTTACAAAATGGCAAAAAAAATTCAACTGTATAATGCCAATTAATTCACATTTTGAATTATTATTTTTTCAAATTCACAAACTGTACGAAAAAAAAATACAAACTAGGAAAAAAACTAAACTAAATGCTACTCTACATGTCTAACCTACACAAATTAATTAAAACAAAAACAAAAAATGCATTGAAATTAAAAAAAAAAGAACATAAATATGAGCATTTGGGAAGTAAGTTTTATGGCTATAGGTTACTAAATACATGTATAGTTTGCCAATCAAACATAAATATTTGAGACAGAAGTTTATTACAGACTGGGAAAATTATACCATCATGATAAATCACCTTCAAGTGGTTGATAATGATAGAAAATTCAGTATTTTATTGTAGCTTAATAACTATATATCAAAAATAAAAACAACCCCATCCCACCCCTTACCCAACCTAAAATTTGGAACTAAGTAACTGAAACAATAAATCCCTCTTTCTAGACCAAAAATATACATTTTTAAAGAAAATTCTTTTCTATTTTTTTAAAAAATATTTGTCTGTCAATGTATACATACAATTTGCAACCAGTCAAATGTATTTTTTATACTACAAACCTGACTGACATTCGAAACAAATAAAAAAATCTTTGAGATCATAAAATGAATTACTAACTACAATATGAATATTTTGGTACAAAATATCATACATAAATACATTTTGATAAAAAATAGTATATAAAATTCATTATGGAATGCAAAAAAATGGCTCAACTTGGTTGATGGATGATGAAAATGAAAAATATGATTCTGATTGGATGAAAATGAGGGTGAAATCAAAAAAGTGATTCTCATTGGACGAAATTTTTACCCAATAATATTCTTTAAAATTCTGGACTGCGTACTTGGATTTATATTGAGATCAATTTATGAATGATGACACAAGACACTTCTTCGCAATTGGCACATATTCATTCGAGTCAGATTCAAATAATTAAGGGATATAAAAATTTTTAGAAAAAAAATTTAAAATCTTTAAGCATTCAAGATCAAAATACATAATCAATCATTCTACTTTCATTTAATCATACTCATTTTCAATGTGCAAGATGTTAAAAATATAAATATATGCAATAAACTTTGATATTTTCATTTCTTATTACTTATTAGAATAAACAGCATTAATTCATACAAAAGGATAAAATCATAAAATGGATATTGTATCAAAATTCTGCATGGACTGAAATGCCAAATTGTAATAACCTGTAAGCATGGCTTGAGAACAAACATGGGGAAAAAGCTACGGTACATTCACACAATGTTACAATACAGTGTATATCAACTTCATTCACACATCCTTTTGAATATTTTTTTCACCTCTTACAGGTTACAAAGAAAAAATGCGAGACATTCGGTATAAACAAACAACATTCTTACACCAAAATGAGCAACATACTCAGCAGTTTAAAAAACAAAATAAGACAAATAATGTACAATAAATACATCACACACTGCATACAAACTATGGCAGGAAAAATGAACCACCTGAGCAGTTGTTGAAAAAAAAATCCTTTTTAACTTCCAATATAGAGTTAAAGACATGAGAGGAGTTACTTTATAATTATCTAAAAAAAAAAAAAAAAAACAAGTTAATTTTGTGACCTTGATTTGAAAAACTCCTCTAAGTTAAAACAGTTTTTTTTCTATATGAGCCAAAGTTTCTTTAAAAATCAATAAATTTTGGCAAATAAACTAAGAAATGAGATTTGTGCATATTCTTTTACTTATACATCCATGAACAGTGCATCAAAGGAGAACAAATATGTATTATGGCACGTTCCTGACTAGTAAAAAATATTTCCTTACATTTATGGAATTCATGCATCTTTTGAATGTTGATTACTCTGAACACATTTGTATTCTTTTTAGTTTGTATAGACATAAAAAAAATGTAACTTGAAACTGAACTTTCAAAAGTGAAAGTAAAAGTAGCTGCAAAAATTCACATACACACAACATAGAAAGAAAAATATTTCGATTATTACTTAAACACTTTTTTTTATCTCAAGCATATTACGGCACATATTATCTCTCACCTATAAACAATACTTTATAGGAATGTAAAGGCAAATATATTCTCCAATATGGCACAGAGAAATAAAAAAAATATTGCTATAGTTTTGCTAAATTAAATATTTCCTTCTTATAAAGAAAGGATGGTGCAAAAATCCTGAGTTTCAAAGCTTGCAAATGATTTTATGAATGTGTGAAATAATTAAATGGAATGAAATGATTGATTTTAAACTCTACCTACATGCATTTTGACAAAATAGAAAAATGCTCTGGGAAGGCAACATGGTTGAACACAGTTATACAATTTGCATATTTGAAAGCATTTTGAGCAAAGGTTGGTTTGGTTTACAGTAAAAAATTAAATTGTTTTATTGAACACAGAATATCGAACAACCTACTTTAAAAAATCAATTGGCAAAGAAAGTGATAATTGCATTTAGTTCTTTTTTAAAATAAATGTATAAGGATTCCTAAATGGAAAAATTTAATTAATTGCGATTACATAAAATGCTTGAACACTTCACTTACATAAAAATCTGGCCGACCTGCAGTAATAAGTAAAAATTAATAAATAATTATATTTATCTACTACAAAAAGGTCTTTCATGTACCACAAAAGCAATAGCATCATAAACACATAGGTATATTAAATCCTAGATTTTGAGCAAACAATTTTCAATTTTTGAAGAGGTGAAAAACATCATGTGTTTTCTCCACTATTAAATTGATGGGTCTATTTGCCTCTATAAATAGTATTGTTAAGGAATCCTATATTTTGAGCAAACAACGTTTCAACTACTGAAGAGGAAAAAAACACTATTTCTCCACGCTTAAGTCCATGGGTCTGTTTGCCTCCATGCTTGGGTTGCGGAATCCGCTCTGGGAAACTTGAGGAGAAAACACCTGTGGCTGAGTTGCCTGTGGAAACATGTTCATTGGACCTCCATATCCAAAGGAAGGTGGCAGCCCATTGGAAGTTGTGGCGGGAGTATTGAATTTGGCCCCTGGTGCATTTGGATATGTCTGATTAGCCATGGCATTGGCAAACAGAGCCATATGCATGCCTTGGAGATGCTGCATCTGTAGAAGGTACATCTGTTGCATGTCTGTAGGATTGCTTGGCATCATAGAGGGCATGCCAGAAATCTGGTTCTCTGTAGCTGGGACCTGAACATTGTTGCTGGGAGCAATTTCACTGTGCATCTCACCTTTCTTTCTCCTCCTTCTTCTCTTTTTGGGTTTTTCTTCTTTTCCTTCCAGTTTCTCTTCTTTGATTCTGTCCGGACTTATAATGGCTGAAGGGGGGCTGGCTTGATCGGGACTTAAAATAGCTGAAGGAGGGCTTGCTTGGTCTGATATCGCCACTGCCGAGTCAGACGACAAACTTGAACAGGGAGAAGATGCGGACTTCAGGCTTGAATTCTTGGCACACATCTTCGAATCCTGGGAAACTTGATCTGTATCTGTTATTCGACCATTATCAAGAGAAATATCATACTTCTCTGTTTTAAAACATGGACTCTTAATGTTATCTGTATCATACTTAGGGACATTTTGACTTTGGTCTGTGATGAGCATATTATTCTTGCTTTGGTGGGGAATTCCTGTAGAGTATTCCTGAGTGTTTGTATGAGACAATAGGTCCTTTTTAACATCTTTTACTGACTGGTCATAAGGTGTTTCCATTGGTGGAACACTTCCAGATTTTGTGTCCATTTGAAGGAATTCATTGGTTGGCGTGTGAGACCTGATTTCATTATCACACTGACTAGAGGCTGAAGATATGGGTGAATATTGAGGAGTTGATGAATATTCATGAGGAGGTGGAGTTTCCACAGAAATCTGACTCACATTGGATCTTGGCAGTGATATAGCTGAATCTGCTTGGCTGACATTGGAGTCACTTCTGGGTCTTCCTACGTTATCCACGTTTCCACTGTCAACACTCGCAGATGACATATTGGACGGACTCTGTATCTTGCAGAATAATTCTTCGATTTCTGCGGCAGACGGAATGCCCTTCTTTCCGGTTTTCAGTTTGAGATCAACAGCTTTCCCGATTTCCTCTTCATGCTGTTTTTCAATGTGCTTATACAGGTGACTAGTTTGGGTAAATTCCCTGTGGCAAAACTTGCAAGTGTATGGCTTAGAGGTATTGTGCATGCGCATGTGAATGGTTAAATGATGGCGATGAATGAAGGCTTTTTCACAAATGTTACATTTGTATGGACGGATTCCTAAATGCATCTTCTTGTGCTGGCGCAGAACACAGGCTTTGCTGAAGGACTTTCCACAGACATCACAAGTATGGAGTTCGTCCGCGCTGTGAGTTTTTACGTGTTTCTGAAGTTCGGCATTATCTCGAAAAGTCAGATTACAAACCCCACACTTGTACGTTCTCTCTCCCGTGTGAGAACCTATATGCATTTCCAAGTAAAAAACTTCGTTGAAGCTTCTACCGCAAATATGGCACTTGTACGACTTCCCGCTATGAACCCGAAGATGTCTTCGCAAATTATTGTACTGGCTGAATTCTCGATCGCACTCATTACATTTATACGGCATGCTCCCGGTATGGGTGGTCCTCATATGTCGCTGTAGTTCATAACTGTCACTAAATTCAACCTTACAGATGCCACAACTACAGGACTTCTCATTGTGGAGCTTCATGTGGTTGTGAAAGTTTCCAACCTGCGAGAACTTTCTGCTGCAAACTTTACATTCATAAATCTCAACAACTTCGCTCTTCTCATCTGACTGACTTTTATCATCAGATAAACTTCCCTTTCTTTCTGCCTTTTGATTTCGGCGGTTTGGTTTAGGGCGTGCTGGCTTAGGTTTCTCCGGTTTTGGCGACTCATTTCTAATTGGTGACATCTTGGGGCTTGAGACGGAAGCAACTTTAGAAGGCAAAGGAGAGGTTGGAATTGGACTTGCTTGAGGAATGTAATTTGTAGGTTGACTTGAGGTCATGGGAGGCATAAACATCCCTGGATTCATAAACATCATAGGATGATGAGGAAAGTTCATGGGCATGGCAAAGTTTCCATACATGTTCATATTTATGGCTGGGTACATGGGCTGTTGGCTCCCTGGATTTGCTGGCATTGGAGGATAAGGCACTCTGTTTTCTTGGGGTGGCATGTTATAAGTGCCACCAAACATGTGACCTGGTTGGGTAGTATTTATCTGCTCGGGTGGTGCATCAGTCTGGACATGCCCCGGAAACTTTGAGGTGGCATACAGTAACTTGGACTTTTTTAATTTTTCCCGGATTTCATTATTTTCTTGGTCAATCTCCTTCTTGGCTCTATTAATGATTTTCTCATACTCCTTTCTCAAGTTCCGCTTCCTCTTTCTTCCCTTCACCTTTGGTCTCAAAATAATCTTTCCTCTTCAACTTCTTATGGGTATATGATGTAAACTCATCCACAGTTGAGGAGTCATTACTATTGTTTTCCGGAAGTGGGGGTGAGGTGCTGATGACTAATCTATCATCTTCATCATCATCGTCGTCGTCATCATTACTCCGAAATCCATTCTCCAAATTCTTGACCTTTCCGCCCTCCTGTGTACATTCCTGTGAAGCCTTCACGGCTTCTAATATCTTACGTTTCTTCGGATGGATTGCACTACCGTCGTCCATGGGCCGTTGCCTCTTGCTCTGATATTGGTTTAATTCCGTCCTTAGTTCCTCTGTGTGATCACATACGATGTGCTGCTGAAGACTCAACAGTGTCGAAAATTTTTCCTGGCAATGGCGACATCCATAGGATTCTGAAATACAAGAAAGATATTGTTAAGAGATATGCTCACAATAATATACAAGTGCATGATAAGGCCATATAAAATTAATCTTTAGATTCTCATCCCCGCCCGCCCCTCTCAAAATGTCCCGCCCCGATGTTTTTTATTTTGATTTTTGGGTATTTTCATGTATTTTTATTCAGTAAGAATTTGGTTTAAAGTTTAAGAGTTATCTCCCGTCTGTATTAAAAGTCGCGTGTCGCTATTTATAGCAAAAACGCCATGTGAAGAATGGAGAAAAATCGGCAATAAAAGCAGTTTAAATGTCTAAGGAAAAGATAATTTGTCAGTATAGAGAAGGCAGAGAAGAAAAAATAGCATAAACACATATAGATACCATCACTGGCAGGAGCAAGTATGTAGAGAGATTGTAACTATAGTAAAAATAGACGAGGAAAATGACACCTGGTCAAGTTATATATAACGGTCTCCAGCTGTGTTACTTTGCTTTGAAATAAAAAAAAATATACAACATCGTAGACAGACTTAAGAGAAGGCCTAGATTTTTCAGTAGAATAATTATTAGAACATTTATATAGATCTTGCGAAATAAGAAGTCACGCATACACAATTTATTGGTATCCCTACCTCATTTTGTTCAGGGTGTGCCGTATAATGTGTACTTGATAATTTGTTAATTAACAATAAATATTTAATTTTTAAAGCAAAAATTTTCTTTAAATATTTAAAAGAATATGAAAAGAATTAAATCTATTCATATTTGCATTAAGGTAATGAAAAAAATGTGTACGGGGCGTCCATTGTTTTGTTGATACTTAGGCCTATATATAAATTAAGAATTATAAAAAATAAAAAATAAAATCCGCCCACCCGCCCCAATTTTTTAGCAAATTAGGATGAGAATCTAAAGATTAATTTTACCTGGCCTAATGTGAAATAAATTGTATCATTCCCAGTACCAGTACTCATAGATGTAAAAAAAAATAATGTGTTGTATCATGGTTTCACTTTTAAATCACAATATTTATCAGTTACAGCAAAATATATTTTTTCCTTTTTAATTTCGACAAAATGAAAAGATTTTCTTTATAAAGTGTAAGCAGAAATTTTAGCAATGATTCAATAAAATCGTTAAAATTAATTATCTATTTTTATGGACAAATATCTAAATTTGCATCTCCCTTAAAATTCTATTTATACCTGTATACAGTATATTTTTTTAAATTGTTGTGCTGTTATTTCTCATGTTTATAGAGTTCATGAAGTGTTACGTAATGTATTTGAATTATCCTATAAGGTAGTTTCTTGTTTTCAATGAAGAGACTGATAATTTACATATATATAAAAGTTGCAAAATTTGAGATCATTCATGTTGTAACATATGATACAGTCCCAGTATATAATGACACACTTCAAACAAATTACTTTAACACTAATAGTTTAACTAAAATGTAATGTACATGTAATATCTTATATGCTTTTTAAGTACTACCAGTAAGAAATTTTGGTTGAATCTTAATCTAAATCCTTAAAAAAATATATCCCATCTGAAAAATTGATATTAAAAGTGTACATTCAAACTTTGTAATCTCAAACTTGATTAGAGTGAGAAAAATGTATGTGCGAGGATTCAAGATATCGAGTGTAAAATAATAACAGATTAAAGAATAAGTGGGAAAGACTTCCAAATGACTTTGATTAATCCATGGTATTAAAGACTGGGATGATAGATTGTTCAATAGCATTTAATATACACATTTCAAATAATTTTATCTTTTTAAGTCTTTTTATTTCAAGCTCAGCTAGCTCTCCAACAGAATTCTTTTGACAATTTTCTTTTTTTCTGTTTAATCATGCTACCAGTAATTATATTTTCTATTTCAGCAATCTCAACAACCTTTTTAAAACACACTTTTGACATTTTTTTTTTCTGTTTAATCATGCTACCAGTAATTATATTTTCTTAAAACACACCATTTTTACTGTTAGTTTCGCTGCCAAGATTTCTAGCTAGGCTGTTTTCTGGAAGAGCTCTGCCCTTCAGCTTGTCAATCATTTCTGTCACCGTGGTTACTTCTTGTTTCAGCACGCCCATAGTCCCGCCCAACACTGCATCCATCATCCCTGTAAATCAAAAAAAAAAAATATTTTAAAATTATTTTTCTGGAATATACCATATGAGTGGATTTTGGCAAGACACAAATTTAGCAATTTGTCCTTAAAATTCATTTAATAAACTAATAATTTTTTGCAAAAATTAATTTTAGTGATTGTGTGGTGTTACAAAATATAACTGTTACCTATAGACAAATGCTGATTGTTAGCAATATCTTATTTCAGCAATCTCAACAACCTTGCTAAAAATGCCAGAATGGAACCCGGCCTTCTTAATTTTTTTTTTTCTGTATTGAACAAAGGTGTTTTAGCTGTCCTGCATATACTTCTGTGCATGACAGACTTGCACAAGCCATCCCTACATTTCCAACATTATTTCTGTTAGCCTGAACATGACAAGAACTCAATGAATGTGATCGGTCAACAAGAGATGCTTACTCCTTTATGGAAACTGCATGGTCACAACTTTGATGTTCTTGCTTCACTTACAATACACAAGTTTTAGATTATCTCCCTTGGTGTGCTCTTCTTTAATGTTGGGTATTTTTGTTTCCATGTAAACTAGCAGGTTGGACAACAACCTGTCCCACTTCCATGCTGATATACTCTTGCATTTCTATTGTTGGGAGAGCTAAAATCTTGTAACTTGTGCATTTGGCCATTAGGGTACTGTTTTTTTTTTTTTGTTTTTTTTTTAAAATGTCTTCATATTTCATAAATCTGACATGATTGTAAAAGAATTTTTATTTATAATACCTGAGATGATCTTATTTTTTTAAAATATTATAAAAAGATTAAATGTTTCACTCTTTCAAAAAGTGTTCAAAATGTATATATCATAATTCTAAAAAAAAAAAAAGATACATGTAATGATAGTAAAATTTAATACTGTTGCTCAAAAACTGAAAAAAAAAACATGAAGTATGAAAATAAAATTTTATATAGCAGACAAATCTCATTATATTCAGTTTATAATCAAATGTTCAGGGGTTTTTTGCTTCTTGCTACTGTTTTTTTTTTTAGATTTAATTTATTATTGAATAATCTAAAAGATCTTTACAAACTGTATATGTAAGGAATGTATGCATGTACACACAAATCTTAATACTTACATGCAGTTTATCCCTAAGATAAAACCTAGATATTTTTAGCTGATAACAATTTAAAATTCATTGACACTTTACATAACAAAGAATATGTCCTTCTTAAGTTTCTCACTCTAGTATTAACTACTGTGTATTATGTTACATAAAACCAAAGAAAGTCTTTTGTTAATAATATACTAATTGCTTAGAACTCAAAGCCTTTGTTTACACTAGTAATTGCCAGACCCCTTTGCAAGAAAAGTATAGTACCTAACCCCTAATATCCTGTATTACACAACATTACATAACTCCCCCAAAATCAAGGGTTCTCCACAATCAAATCATGATGATGAAACACTCAAGTAAACAAAGAGAATAAGGAAAAGTGTTAATAAGCTTTAAGACATGTGTGTGTATACAAGAGTTAGCAGGTGCCCCCCATAGGGCATAGAGGAGGAAACAAAAAGCACCCACTACATGCCTGAACTGTGTGGGTAAATACATTAATTGATGCAGCTCAATACATTGGGCTTTGTTGAATGTATTGAACAATAACAATGGGCTTAATCAACAAGGGTGGCCCCCAGGCTGGGTGCACACAATGGAGGGCCGAGCCTCTTTGTTTGTAAGCAGATAATTGTTGTGTTGTTGTTTTTCTCTCTTTTTCTGGCCTGGGATTATTCTGAGTCAAAGAATTAAACAAGATTATCCCATTCTGATGAAGGGTTTTGAGTCACTCTTTGATTGTTTTGTTGGATTTGCTGGTGTTACATAATTTGTTGACTTTCTTAATTGATAAGCTTCCTTGCAGCAGTCTTTTTTTAAAAACAGGAAAAAAATGTGTGATTTAAATTGTCAATATTTTTTCCTAGAAATTCAAAAGATTAGAAAATAATTTCCCCTCTTTATTCCCCCTTTTTAGTAAAATATTAAAAGACATTTTCAATGAATTCATTTTTTAATTATAATATTTATTGATATCGGCAATCATAAAAAAATTCTTATTTTGTACAAATACAATCAAAATTAACCTAACTACTCTATTTTCTCTCTCAGACAACATGGACAAATTCCATTTCTTTATTTCGAAATAGCACAGTATGAAGATTTCGCATTTTGAGCTTTTTCCCCCTAGAAGTATGAGAAAAATTGTTACCCGTGATTGTTTATATATGAAACTTTATTCTATTCTTGTACATAAAGTGTCACAGGGGCCAATGTGCATATGCTTCACACTCATAACAGTAGATAATTAATATTAATGTATTAGAGACCATTTAATTATGTAACTAATAAATTGGTCCTGGGGTGTCCATTAAGAGCAGACTCACACTTTTGATTAATGTATTCGCCTTTAGAACAAAAAACACCTCGGGTGTACAAGGCAAGATCATGTATTTATGCTTGATGCCTATAATAATTGCTGCATGATACACAAAAGTTAAAGCTAAAAATACTCTGAATACTCAACACTTAATAGTATTAAATTTTTGAGAGAAATTTAACCATTTTTAAATCATCACATTACTTAGAAAAGTTTGATGGTTTAAATTCAATTTACTACACCACACGTACCAAGAGCAAAATTCAGTTTTTCAAAATTGCTTTGTGTATTTCCACAAAACAGACAAAGACAAATAAATTAACAGAAATTACAATTTCCTTAAAAACTTTTGGGCAACCATGAAATATTATGAATTTGCTTGTGAATTTTTAGGCTGATAAATTATTTTTTCTTTCCTTTTTCTAAAAGATATTTAAAGTGCTGTAAGGGAAACTTTTCAAAATCGTCTTTTGTGTATTCCAAATCATTTGAAAACTAAAGTTTCTTTCTCTAAAAAAAAAAATTATGACTTTTTTCTCAAGTGACTTAATCAGCTATGGTGTAACTAGACTGAACACGCTGGATGAGTTTCAGTCTTTGTACCTGGCCGGGAGTCCCCTTTGTTTATTTCCAGATCACCGACCTTTGTTCGTCGATACACAAAACCACACAGATAATGAGTGGATGACTAAGCCACGTCGATATTTAAATTGTACAGAAAAGAATAATTTTTCAAAATATAAATATCGCATGTTTGAGTTAAAAGAGTAATTTCTGACGCATATCTATAATTATTTTTTCTTTGTAACTAGTACACAAAATGAGACCATGTGATACACCTGTGGGAAAATAAAAGCTTGTTTACATCCAATTGACGCGTGGGCCAAATTTTATGCACATGCAAGGCAAAGCAGTCCGAGAAAACACATGTAACTTTACAAGCATGTGCATTGAAGAGTATTTCTTAATTTAAAAAAGTTTAGAGAGAAAAATAAAACTGATTTACCTGCCCGAAATCCATCCGTGGTGCGCTACCGAAATCCATTCTTCTTTCTTTTTTCACTCCGTCAGCGTCAATCGTATGCTTGAAATTTGATATCAGTTGATGGTTCAATAAGCGCTTCAGGGAATAGGATTTTCTTTGTGAGGGAAATTGACCAATCATTTTCGGTGTTGCATTTAAGCGGCGGGATAATCAAGTGGCACGGATCTAACGGACTCAAACACTCCTTGTGACGTATGCGTAATCATCATTTTCAAATAAAAAAGATCTAGGAGAGAGAGAGAGAGAGTTATTTGTAGAAAAGAGAATCAAAGAATGTACAACAAAAATCTATGACAATTCGAGACTGCTGCGGGACATTGTATGATCTTATGTGATTTTTTTTTATTTGCATTAAAAGTCGCACCTTTAGCATGTGTTTATTTTCTAATTCAGACTCTAGTTAATTAACTTTTTCATAAATATACAATAAATAAACTTTGAATATAAATTATACAACTACCTTCAATTACCATTGAAGAGAATCTGACAGAACAATAAAAACAAAATTGACATTGAAAATAATCAAATTTGAAATCTTTTTGTAAAACAATTTAAACATGTTAAAATCCAAAATTAATATTTATTAATTTGCAATTGTCTCACAATACACACATGGATTAGGCCCTATGTTTTATAATCCTAGATAACGAAATTAAATTTCAACTAGCATGCAGATTGTCATCGCTATGATCCACTAGTTTTTGAATTAAAATACAAAAATATATACTTGTCATATCAAATGTTATAAAAATAAATAGTCGATAGAGGTGTATCAATATATCATAAAAAATACATGTAAATTCAGCTTAATATATCTTTCTATCCACACAATGAGAGTTCATTGAAGAATTATGAACTTATGCGTTAATTAAAATAATGTAAAGGATTATTGATCCATTATTTACTTAACGAAAGCTAGCAAAGTGCCAAGCCGATTTTTTGTAAAATACATGACATTTGTACATGAGCTACCGTGGTCCCCAGCTTTGCCCCCTACCCCAAAGATTTCGTCCTGGATCCACTGGATGGCTCATCACGGTGGGCCTACTACTGGGGGCGGGGGATAGAGTGGGTGGGGGTTGGGGTGTCTTGCTGTCCAGATCCCCCATCTCTGCCTATTCTCAACTTTCATTCTGGCTACGCATCTAACAGAAAAACACCACGTGTACTACTAACACCACACGTACCACAGGCAACATATGTGCAACTATTTTTCGTATTCTTAATATCATATAATTTAGCGTTAGGCAAATGAAGAGTATAAGGAAGAAAATGGTACATCCTGGCGGGCATTCACCTGTCTCCCCAACCCCGACACAAATGACAAAATATATAACGCCGGGGTAAAAGGATGGGGAATCCAGACAAGATTCAAATTACACACGGAAATACATTCCAGATCCATTCTTTTGATGCGGAATGAATGTTTGCTTACCCTCAAACATTCCTTTCTCGGTAGAATTTTGAAAGAACAAAATAAATCCTGGAATATTCAAGCCTAATTTTGATTTGAAGTCTTAGTCATTTCTGTAAGTCGTTGACAAGAATATTCGTCTGGAATGCACGTATTTGAACCCGGCCACGGGCACGTCAAATATAGAACGAGCATTAGGAGTTTATGGTTATATATTACCCCCCCCCCCCCCCATACATATACTCTCAAAAACACTACTGGAAATCCAGAACAGAATCGACCCTCCAGAAGATTTCTAATCTTTTAAAGTGTTAATTTTTGTAGATAGAAGGGATATTTGATTTAAATTTTAAGCATGCATTAAGAGATCCTACGTGTACATGTAGCTTCATATGTTCTCTCATTTTTCACTTTCCTATTCACACTGCATAACGAAATGTCCAGATATCTTGCATATCCTTACGTATGGAAGAAAAAAAAATCCTGCGTTCGATTGTAAGAAAGAAGCTCTTCCAGAGCTTAACTCATATACGTCCCCTCCCGGCCTCCCGAAAAATAGATTGAAATCACCGGCGGATTTATATTTAGAGGGAACAAAAATATTTTTTGTCCAAAATTAACATAAAATTTCGATCATTAATAATTTTTTTTATGCGGCTCTGAGCCCCTATAACACCCAAACTGTAGGGTCCTCCTTTTTCAAGATTCCTGGATTCGCCACTGGAAATGCAAATCTACGAACGCAACCCACTGCAAGCAGTGTATCCTGAGTATACTGCATGTCTTATAGTAAAAGAAATCTATCTACCCCCATTTTAAATCTTACTAGTAATTGTTAAGAAAAGTAGGGAAAGCGACAACTGCATGTAATTAGCTAATTCTGGGTCAAAGACAAGTTTGCTAGGTACGTGAATGCCCTCTACCAAATTTAGAATTTTGTTCAATCAAAATTTGTTTATGACAGTGATGGGAAAAAACTAAATTGAACAAATCCTAAAGTTAGTAGAGAAATACCGGGAGTATGAATTTTAATAGATCGAATTTTTTTAGCAACGGATAATGATCGAAATACATTCTCACTACATCTGCATCTTGTTGAGTTTAAATTATATGGATATTTCATTTTGATCGATCAATAAATTGCAATTTATTTTTTAAAAATAACTCCATAATTTAGTGTCAAGATTTATTATTTCAATTTTATAACCTGATGATTAACATGTAATTTTGACGAGTGTTTGCGGCGGAAGGGCGGGAGAGAAGACGGGTGGGTAAAGGAGATTTTTGAAAATGAAGCCAAATTTAAAGATTTATATTATCACATGTATTTGAAGAAGTTACAGTACGGTAAATTAGATTTTTGTTTTCAATGAATTATTATGTAATTGTTTGACTTATATTGTAGTGAATATGCAAAAAAAAAAAAAAAAAAAAAAAAAAAATTAACACAAACATATTGGCAAATTAATTGATAGTACATCGCTACATGTGCAGACTTTTCTTTAGTAAAATAACGCAATCATTGGGGGGGGGGGGGCAATATATCCCCCATATCCCGGGGGTCCATGGGCCTGTCTTAGAGCTTGAGACGTTCATTTCTCAGGCCCTGCACCCATTTACATGTATGATTGACCCTTTTTAAGACTTGAACTAAATAAAAACCATTTAAAAGCTACCGGTAGCTGTATCTTCATTGTCAGGGTCGACATACCCAGCTATCTCTAACAAGGTGTGTTTTAATAAAGCGGGTATGTAAAGCATGACATTTAATTTTTCATTGGCGGCTATGAATACACCAGGAAGAATTGGGCACCCGTAATGTGCAAATGTGGGCCACGATCAACCAAAACCGAAACTATAGGGATAAATTGTTAACTAAAGAGTCTTGTAATTTGGATCCGCAGGTAAAAATTTGTTTTATGATATATATTTTGTACAATACGAAAAAAAGGACAGGCAATTTTGTTGCCTACAGTTATTGTGAGAGTGGAGAACATATATTATTAAATAGGCAGATTCGAAGGACATGCATATTGGATTTCCCCAGGTAAAATAATTTCCCAGTCTATCATTGGAATATATAGATACTGCTAGTTTTTTTTTTTAAACTGGATGCCAGGTAGGCTGTATACGTTATCATTTCTTAAACGTTAGATCATTTTAGCTACTAGGTTATTCAGTTTACTTTTTTAATGTAATTCATTTTGATCGAATAAGCATGTACTCCCAGTGTGTATGTTTTTCTACAATAAGAGATATACCTGAAATGGGGGTGGGGGGATAGGAGGTAACAATTTTAGGAAAATTACAACTTTTAAAAATAAAAAAAAGAATTTAGACCTCCAACCTTTGGGAACAGGGATTTACATGATACGAGTCAAAGATCTAGATATCTATTAGTATATAAAACCATGAAAAGCGTCAGTTCCCAACCCCTAGACGCTTGATTTCGTATTTGGACTGAAACTGTTACATGTACTACTGTAAAAGAAATCTTCCGACTCTATTCACTCTCATCCATCCTTCTCTATCTAAGGTAGAAAAAAAAAACGTCCTAAATTGGTATGAACCCAGTTCCTTTGCAACGTCAGCGTTTTCCTTTCTTGTACTATTAATAAACACAAATTATATCTTAAAAGTATAAACGTATTGATCAGTGGATGAATACAATATTTTTGTTTGAGATTTATTTTTTTTTTTTGCTAGGTGCATGTTATGGAGATGGGGTTTTGGGATGATAAAATATATAAAGATTTATTATTTTACTCATATAGATACAAGCTACTATTCATCTCATGGCTTTAATTTATCTAATAATGATTTTCTATCATTAAGAAAAAGGTGTCTTTCAGTGCTACTTTCGGTTTAATAAAAATCTATAAAAGAAAATCGTGGATCTTGGTTATGTATGAAAAGGGGAGCAGTTCCTTTAGATATGTAAACTTGTTCTTTTTAGCAACAAAACAATGCTGAAGACAGCTATATAAGAAATATTTATCAAGGAGATTCAAAGAATCTCTGTTAACGTCTAGATTAAGCACATAACTTAGCAACGATAGGAAACCTCGTTTTTGCGAAAAAAAATTCCAAAATTTGACCTTGGCCATAGCTTTTAAAAAGTTGGTGCTAGGGCTTTCATACTTCATACTTCACATATGTATTCATTGTGACAGTACCTTTCAATATAAATATTTTTTACCTTTTTACCTTGACCCGAAGGTCACTTTTCAAAAGGGTGATGTACAACTCAAAAAAATCGGTTTAAGATGAGTACCTTTAAAAAGCATAAAAATAGTTATCCGAGATTATCTTTTACATTAATCCCCCCCCCCCCGTTCCTACGGCTATGAAAGAAATTACAGGTAATGTTGTATTTACAGAATGAATTTATTCCAAGTTTTGTTTTATTTTTGTACCATTGGATCGAACTTTTCTTAAGCTTGTTGTTTCAAAGAAAAAAAAATTCGTTTCTCGGAATCATATGTTCATACATTTAATTTAAATTTCTTGATTCTTCGCGTAATAATAAGTTTGCTCGCGCCAGACAAGTTTTTTTTAGGAATGCTTATACTTGTGTTACATATACATGTAGGGCCTAAAATAAAAATAAGTTTGTTTGCAGTTGCCCACCGACCCACTGAAAATGCACCCGACCCAAACTTTTTTTTAGCCATTTTGTAATTTTATTTTTTCAATTTTTCAGAATATTGAAACTGTATCTTTTTCAAATTTTGACTTTTGTTTTTTTTTCAATCAGTGGTTTATAACAAGAGTTGAGCTTATTCATGTGTAGTAGGTCTATGAAAACCTCTTTTATTTGTTATCTAACAAAAATCCAATTTTTTTCCAAAAAAAAGAAAAAAAAAAGAATGCCTTCCTACCGACCCAGTCTAAAACTTATAGGTCGGCAACTGCAAACAAAGAATTTTTCAAGCTTGGCCTAGCCTTTGCGCGACGCAATTTTTAAACAATTTTTAAAGCCGACAATTTTCTTTTCTATCCTTTGATTAATTGAATGCATATGACTTTATTTAAAAAAAAAAACATGGGCAAGACCTTTAATAAGTATAAATTGGTATTTTTTCTGAGTACTATAATATTTAGTGTCCAGAGAAGTGAAGGATAAAATAAACGCAGAGGGAATGGTGTGAAACGTTTACATGCACTAATGTGAGCATTTACTCAAATTACGCTGATGACCCAACGGTAAAACACCTTCCATTCAAAAAACGTTACTAGGAAATCTATGGTTAGTAGAGTAGAACCATACAACAAGTAAAGAGTAAATTGTATATGTAGTTTTTTTAACAATACTTATTTAAAAAAGAAACAAAACAAAAGAACATTTAAATATGCAATGAGAAAATATGAAATGCCATTTTAATGCGTAGAACAACGATGGAGTTATGATCGATGCATGTGCATTTTGGTTTAACATTCAACGAAAACGACACGATTTATGAATAGGAAAAAAAATTATGAAAAAAATAGAATTTAAGTAATATGATACATACAATGGAAAAGTATAGTAAAGTTTCAAAACCTAATTACACACTATGTCAATTAGAGGGTATTTATAAACCATCTCTATGAAATGTGGATAATATAGGACATAGTGCACATCTTCTCTTCATAAAAGTACAACAAATTATCATGCTTCATGCATGTTATTAAAGCAGATATTTTTTTCTCCAAACATATGAATTAAATTCGCAAACATGTAACGCAATGAACAATTGTTAACAGAAATGGAGTATTTTCTGTTGTTTTGAAGTTATCGCCCCTTTAACTTTAAATTATATTAATTTTTTGCAAAAATAAACAATATTGCTATTCCAATTTAAAACATAAAAGAATCAAAATAAACATTTTATTATTTCTTTTATAGAAACTTTAAGAATTTTGATTTTTAAAAAGTAATTTTCCTTCATTTTTATTGTTAATAACTATGAAACAAATAAGTATAAAGCATATGTAGTTTATTTTTAAAAACATTTCTAAAATTAACCAAGTCAGACAGAAAAAAGAAAAAAAAAAGAAAGCGAGAGTAAGAGATTGGGGAGATATCGGGAGAGAGAGAATGAGTAAGAATAGAGAGAGAAAGATAGCAGGAGTAAGGAGAGAAGGAGTGTGAGCGATGAGGGAGTGGAGAGAAAGTGGGAGGGGGATTGGAGAGTAGAGAGATTTTGGTATCGCTCAACCCTGAGTGGGAGGGGGAGAGAGGGGGATGGAGGGAGTAGGGAGAGAGGGGGATTGGCAAAGGGGAAAAGGGAGAGGAGAGAGGAGTGGGATGAGTGGTAGGGAGAGAGTAGTGAGGGCAAGGGAGTAGGGAGGAGTGAGATAGAGGGTGGAGTGGTGAGAGGAGATAAGTGGGAGGAGGGATGGGAGAGAAAAGACGGGAGGGGGGGGAGCGAGGGGGGGTAGTCGGCTGGGTAGGAAGAGATTGGTGAGGGTGAGAGGGAGAGCAAATTTGGGAGAGGGGGAAAGAGGGAGGTGGGATTGATTGATTGAGAGGGATTAGGGCCTTGACAGGGGGGTGTGAGAAGAGACACGGGATGGAAAGAGTCGGCAGAAAGGGGTTAACCCCCCAGTTTGGGCGAGAGAGAAAGTTTGGAAAATTTTTATTCGAGATTCTGGAAAGGGAGTGTGGAGAAAGGGAGTAGGAGGAAATAAAAAGATAGTTTGGGGAGAAGGAATGGGGGAGAGATAAGGGAGTGAGGGGTTGAGAAAGAGGGTAGAGACATGGGGTAGAGAGAGTGGACATAGGGAGAAAGGTCGTGAAGAGAGAGAGGGGGACTTCATTTTTCAAATATTTATTAATTTAAAAAAAATTTTATGATGATATTTCATATGATATTTAATGTACTTCAATGTTTTAAGAATTGTAGGGATTTGATGAATATTATATAAAATAAAATGAAGAAAACATTTTAAAGTCAGAGAATTTTCTATTAAATCAATTTTATATAAATTTTTATAAATGAGCCAATGTCATTCTCTTTCAGAAGAACCAGAATAATGTTTCCAAGGAAGTAAAATGGCCTCACATTACCACGTATGTAAGACACACATTAAAATAGTAAAGTGATTAATTTTACATGAGGTGGGTCGGGGGATATTTGAGATTAGTTGACATCTCTCTTTATTGAGGTCTATTTCAGTGTGACTTAAAAGGTTTACAAAATCGAGTTAAATATATTTAAATAATTTACACATGTTAAATTTATGTCCCTTCAAGTTTTCCTACAGATGAGAAAATTGTCCTATTTTTTCTTGTTAATAACTCTTTTCTTATCTTCTCTCTCATTCCTTTTTTTCTCCACTGGCAGATTTAGTGGGAGGGTGCCCGGGTCCCCCTTTCGTGTCCAAAATAAAATATACATAGAATTTAATAATTCTTGGTGTGGCTTTGGGCCCCTATCCCGACCCCAAACTTGTCTGTCCCCCTTTATAAGATTCTTGGATCCGCCAGTGCTCTTAAAACAATCTCTGATTCTCAATCTTTTAACTTATTTTTTTTTTGGGGGGGGGGTTCTATGGTACGTTTCAACAATTTGATTAAGCCCCCTTTTTTTCTGCCTAACATGTTAAAAGAGGAAGATTAAAGGTATGTTTACTGAAATAAAGCTCATGGAAAAGTTATGTTATTTGATACCGTTTCTAGTCTTCCTGTCGCCCTGTTACATAACAAAGATCAAAAGTCTTCTATGAACAAAGAAAGATAAACCAAAACCGAAAAAAAAAATCCACGAATAAAAAGATTAAAGATCTCACTGTAGATGTGTAATGTTTAAATTGAGGTTTCCAGTCCACAATAAACACATTTTTTATTTTCATTTTTATCTTGGGTAAAATTGTCTTTGAGAGGTCATTTTCCAACTAAAATTTCTTTAGTTTTATAGCATATGTTTTCCTCCCCTCCCCCGTAAGAGAAAACGAAGCAAAAGCAGAAATCCTCCATGCAACGTTTCACTTCAATAGACCAAATTATGTAATTTTGGATACCTTTTATAACGAGCTGTATGGATTATGTTTTCCTATCCTATCTTTCTTATCATATACCCCAGGACTAATTTTAAATGCTTCAGTCATATCCCCCTTAATAGAGATCATAAGATATGGTTCCTCTTTGTGTGCTTGGTTGCACATTCTCGCAGTTAAATGCATTTAATCGCGCTATCATTCATCAATGCAGTTTACTCAATACAAAGGAAGGTGATTTTAATTCCCATTTGAATTCAAATATAAAAGAACCACAAGTACTTTTAGGGGGGGGGGGGGCACCCCTTCCTTTTTATGAGGAAAAAGAAGGCAGTGACCCGATATACGAAACAAGTGCCTTTGCAAAGAAAGTATTTCTTAGAAGGGTTGGAAAAAATTAATATTTTGTGCAGAAGTGGGGGAAACCCATTAGAATTTCCCATAATTTCAGTGAAATCGCTCAAAGGCTTCCCTTTGATATCGCACGGAAATGAAAGTGTTACATACAGATAGAAAAGCAGCTAGACGGACGGTCAGATGGACAGACAGACCCAAATTAATATCCCCAGCGCCCAGTGCTCAGTGAAAGCGGGGGACAACCGTAATCAAGCCCCATCCCCATTTTATTCTGAGCTGATTCGTGACTTTTTCTAGCCAGTATACCCATGCATGTAGGCGATGTGGCCCATGGACCTCTTTTTTGTAGTTTGTCAGTTTTTTTTTTAAAAAACTCGATTTTTCTTTAAAACTAACATCGTATCCATGCTACAAATGTTATACATATATTCTTATTGACATATATACTCTTAGGACCCCATCCCTATTCATTGGGCAAAAAGAATAAAGTAACGAAAATATATATTCCCTTAAATAATACAATTTTTTAAAGTCATTTATTTTATGTACATAACATATAAATTATTTTGTTTCCTTTAATTACAGACAGTGAAACCACAGTTTTCAGAAAACCATGGCGATAATATCGCATTAGAGAAAGATGGTGCCCAGAATTGTTTTAAAGCCGAATGGAAATTTTTAAAATCCTATGGTTATGCTTTCTCTGATTTTCCGCTCCAGAAGACCGGATGTATGAGGCCATTTTTCACGGAAGTGGACATGCAAGCATTGGGCTGACACAGACTGATCCAAATCACTTGAGTGATTTACAGCAAGCTGTCAAGAACGGTCAGATAGTTTTGGCCATGACGTTCGGTTCCACAAACGAGACTGTACGGTAGATATTGTGAAAAAGACAGACAGTAGAAAAATGTTTGTATTTCAGACAAAGTACAGAGAATCCGCCCCACAAGGGAAGTCTTTAATGCCCGGTGCTGACGTATGGATAGTATTCTATCTAAAATTTGGAGGAGAAAACATGATAGCAGAAATAAGAGGTAAACAACCAAGAATTTGTTTTTTGAAATGAAAAGTAAGAAATTGTGCTAATGTATTATTTAGTTTAATTAACTGTGTGACTTCTGCTTTTATTGACTATCACAGTAGCTCCGTTTTAGGAGAACTCGCTCTGTGATCAGAAAGTCTTGGATTTAAATTCCAGCCGTGACTAATCCAAGTCAATATAAAATAAGTTGTAGCTGTTCGATGTCTCGCCAAGCACTCGCCACTTCGACGATGCGGGTATTTCAGATGGGTGCCTTAAAATGAAAATTATGTGGATACACATCCTTGGGTGGTGTGAATTCAAAATTGTTCAAATCATTACACCGGACGAGGGGTAGGGCGAGGCGGGGCAACAATAGGGAATCCAAGTTTAACACTGAAATCTATTAGAAAAATCTATAAAAAGCATCTTCTCAAGAACCACTGGGCCAGAGAAAATAAGGCTGAAACTTAAGTGCAAGCATCCTGGAGTGGTGTTGATTCGAAATTGTTCAAATCATGACCCGGGGACATAAAAGTACATTGTATACAAGGGGATAATCTGGTTGACAGCATGACCAAAGTTACTCAGGTGCGTTGTGGCCCATGGGCCTCTTGTTAAATGTTTCAAGTAATTGTATCTATTATTGAATCCTTTCAGATAAAGAAACCAGAGCAGCTTTGCGATTTCACAGGAAAGTTGACAGAAATATTGATTTACAAAACGAAAGACTAAAAGTATCTCTTCGGTCTCCGATTCCTCTTGCATATGCAGTCCTAGAAAACAGCCTGGAAAAGAGGCATTCCGTGCGTGTCAAAACAGGGCACATTGATGACAAAGATAAACCAAGGCTTTATCACATCAAAATAGGTATCTCCAACAGCGATGCAAATTCGTCCAACTCTTTGGAATTCTGTCCAAACATTGAAACGAAATTAGAAAAAGAAGATTGCATAGGTGAATTTTATGTATGCTTGTCACCAAAAGGGACATTTCATGTCCATAAGGATAATATGTATCTTCACAAAAATGATTTGTCTCCGAGGTGGATATTAATTCGCCGGTGTATGTCTGGTTTGAAATTTTCCGCATCCGGTTGGAGGCAGAGAAAACTCACCAACCGTACCCATGACTCAGAGGCAATAGAAAATCCTAGGGAAAGTGTCAGGGGTATCACACTCCACCTTATGCCAAAGTTACAGTAAACGAATTAGTGAGGACCTTAAAAGGCATTGACCAGGAGTTGGAGGCGGGAAAATTTACGGTCGAAGTCCAACAGACTTTAACTGAGGCTACGAATGAAGTGGCAAAAATATGTGAACTTTTTCTCTCGGATCTTCAAAGCAGACAAGGAGGTTTATGACGAAAAGGACGGATATCTAACACCCGTTTCTAAAACAAAATCTTCATCAAGTTCTGCAAGGTTACCTATTGAGCACGAAATATGAATCGCTCATCAACCTTCACTTAGAACTTTACAGCGGATGTTAATTCAAATTGAGAAAACCGCCAAAGCCCACCATTTTGAAAGACAAACTTCTCTTGATCAACTGATGATTGCAGTAGAGACAAATCGCACCAAAATAGAGGAAGTCCAGAAGTCCTTTGAGAACGTTAGCATACAAAAACCATCTCCCACTAGGATTGAACCCGGGACCTTCCAAAACACATTTGCTAAAAACGTGTGCGCAGTTTATACAAACTGTGGAAGTTTTTCCTCTTTGCGATCACTTACTTCAAGAAGACATCATTCATCAGGAACAATATAATAACATTTTTGACGAACACAGACGACAACGCATCGACGCAAGTAGAACATTATTTCATCATCTCTCAAAAAAGCCTTATTCAACTAAGAATATCGAAAAAATCACGCAAGCATTTATCGACACAAAGCAAGAATATTTGCTGCCAGGGTGGCAGTAACCGATCGAGAGATTGCATGACTTGTAAGGGATTGAATTTGTACTTTTTTATTTTTATAAGCATGTTTTTAAAAAAAAAATAAATTGATAACAAATTAACATTACTGAGTTATACGATTGGGCTTCTACTAGTATATCTTAAACATGCGACTCATTAATAAAATCTTTATTAACCTAAACAGCGAAAAAAGGACTTCAAAACCTTCACCAGGATTATGTATATCATAGGTAGGGATGTCAGTTTCTTTTGCGTGATAGAACTATGACTTCATAACATTAAATCTTTCAAGGTTGATACGGATCTGCAGGATTGATACAGATTTATAACACATCCCTTCCAGATCTAGATTAAACCTTACAATGCACGACTATTGATAATACTACTCATTTATTGACTGAGTTCTCAGGGCCAAATGCGATTGGTCGGACCCAAGATCTAAACTTGTCTGCCAAAAGTTTGGTTCGAGGGAAGAAAAAACGCATTTTGCCCGAGAACATAGTCAATAAATGTTTTGTTATACCTTTCATTTCAATTTTTTTTACACATATGTATTTCGGACTGTTTTCAGTGATACAACCTCTGGTCCGTTACTGTTGAACAACAAAAAATAATCAAAGTACTAAAAGTACTAGGAAGCGCTAAGCATGGCTTGAATTTGAAATTCATCAGAATTTAAATTCCTTATTGCATTGGAATAAGTACATGTAATATTTTGACGGTGCAGCTGTAAAGTGGGGGGGGGGGGGCGAACTCAATTGTTTTTAAAATTGAAATAAACCCAGCTCTTGATAGACTTGACTGTTACATTAAATAACATAGAATGTATACTATAACAATTTTTTTAATTACTGCAAAAAAAAAATTACAAAGAGAATCTAATTTAATATCTCTTTGCAATTTTTTTTAAAGCAAGTGAGTTACTTTTATAACCTTTCTTTGTTTGTCGCACCATAGGGCAGTAACACAGTTACCCATCCGGACAACAAGATTACTTGTGTTGCAATGTGGGTCCAGATTTCTGCGATAAAATTAGATTTATATCAATGTTACAGTACGATTTTTTTCTTCTGACTCATTTAATTTCAGATTATGTATACAGCTCTACATTAGCTGGAAAGCTGTTTTTTTGGACAAATTTTGAATACCTAAGATGTTGCTGATATCCTTATCTTGAACGTAAAGCGGAGACGACAAAACCTTCTAGTGGAATTTTGAACAATAAATCATTCGACTCTCAAGAATATTATTCGTACTTACTAAAATTCAAAATTGACTGTAGGCGACCGTGCCTGTCTTTGTTATTATCGGCCGCATAGGTGATCGATCTATTGGCGGTTGTGTTTGAAGCACAGGGAGAAATGAGATATCATTTTTTATTTGTTCCATTAAATATCTAATGATAACATATAATTAGGATTATGAATAAAAGATTTTTGAAATGCCTTAAAATTTTGTTTGAACTATTTTTATTTAGTCATAGATATTTATAAAGTTATAATTTTTATGTAAACGGTTTTACAAAAAAAAAAAATCCTAGCATGGGAACTAGTAATATATACACGCAATCAATAAAAGTTACTGGGTATACAAATAATGAATAGAAATTGAACTTTTAAATTTTGTATTGAATATGCTACAGTTGAATAAAACAACAATATTTTTTTTTCAATATGTCTCATTAATTATGATACCAATCCTTATTCATGCAGCATCTTGATATCAACATGTAACAAAAATCCCCGAAGACTTTACTTCTTTTTATTACATTGCTATAATATCAATTTTGGGTATAAGGATATTGCATTAAATTTTGTCTTTTTGATGAAAAACCATTCTTATCCTTCATCTCTGACTCTCACGCACATGAATTATAATTAATTTGTACCAAAATTTAAAAACGTTTGACCATTATTTTTCTCGTGCAATATTTGAAGCTGATTTGTCAATATTTCTTTTTAAAATAAAAATGTTTAATTGAATACTAGTATACTCTTCTACTTAGAAATAAAAATATATCATACTAAAATTTGCGAGTATTTTCCTTTGACTCATTTTGGCGGAATTACTTTAAAATGCTTCAGTTTTTTTTCTTCACTATGTAAAACATGCTGACAAGAATGAAATAGCCACAACACCCAAGCGTTCAGTCTAAAGGAATTTTCTGCAGCAAAATATTTTAATACAGATCAAGACTATATATAGAAGCTAGTTAAACATTTGTTTTAATGGAATCGTACATGTACTACCAATAGATTTGATCCAATTTGATTTTTAGAAATTCATTGAAACTTTTAAATACACATGCCCAATAAATCTTTTTACGGTACTTGTATTAACTTTTTCGAATTACACTGCAGAAATAAGATTTGTGACATGTTTGCCAGTACTTATTGATATGCACCATATTGTTCAGAGATAAGATCCGCCATTATCCACAAACACAGGATTTCCGTAAATACGAAAATTAATATCGACTGTACTAATTAACACCTATTATGATAACTCCCACAATAAAGTAGCCGACATAGGGTCGGGGATTTCCAGTTGTATATTTTTAGACGATTAGGTAGAGTATATAACTTGCTCAGTGGCACTGTTTTTCGTAAGCTTAGCGCTGTATCACTCCTCGAAATTGAGTTCGTCATTTTGAAATCGAACATAATATCATAGACCTAAAACGAAGGGACCGCCGACTCCGATGACGTCACAATAGATATCACTATACGATCTCCCTCCGATTGCAGCGCCCTCACCGGGATGCAT